AATCCAGGGATATGGGACTCACAGATACAAAGGGCTGGCTGTATTCATTACAGAATTATTAGAAAGTAAAGACTAAAAGGAAACAAAAAATCACCCGCAATCCCATCACCCAGATCTTTCTTCTATCTACATTATAAACATTCTTTCTACATCATTGAACTCATACAGCACATACTATTCTGAAATCATTTTGACTTTGCAATTACTCATGAGCATTTTTGGTATTATTTTTGCTATTCTAGGTTTCTTCTTGTTCCAAATGAATTTTAGGAATGTTTTCTCTAATTCTGTGAGGCATGCTAATGGTAATTCGATTGGGATTGCATTAAATCTGTATAACAATTTGGGAGAATAGCCATTTTCACTATGTTGGTTCTTCCTATCCAAGAGCAGAGAATACCTTTCCATCTTCTGATATCCTCTTCAATCTTCTTTTACAGAGTACTGTAATTTTCTATGGTCCTTTATTTCCTTTGCTAGATTGATTCCTAAGTATTTCATTTTTTTCAACGCTATTGTGAAAGGTGTTGTTTCCCTAATTTCTTTTTCAATGAGTTTGTTATTTGTGTACAGGAATGCTATTGATTTTTGAGTGTTGACTTTGTATCCAGCTACACTACTGAATTTGGTTATTAAATCTAGAAGTTTTTTGGTGAAGTTTTTGGGGTCTTCTATGTAGAGAATCACATCATCTGCAAATAATGATAATTTACTTCCTTCCTTTCCTATCTTTGTTCCTTTTATTTCTTTTTCTTCTCTAATTGCTCTGGGTAATATTTTATTAAATATTATTGAAGAAATTGATCTTTATCAACTGCTTAGTATATTGATTAGAGTTATATAAGATTTTTCTACCCTATTTAGGGTTTTGCAGTTTTGTCTGCCATGACACTGTGAGAAATACTCATACATACAATAAAGATTCACTCACATCTCTCAGGCAAAAATAGCTTTTGCACCTATTACCAAATTACCTCTCAGAATAGTTGCTTCTATGTTAGCCTCCTACCAGCAGTAACATGAATGCGTCCTTTTCCTGCACCCACATCCACATTAGCCATCACAAATTCTAAAAAGCTTTAGTAATCTGATGTATAACAACTACCTCATTTCAATCATTTGCATTTGTTTGATTACTAGTGATTGTTGAACACTTTCATAGTTCATTTATAAATTTCTTTTGTGAATTGCCTACACATACCATATCCCTTTTTTCATTAAGGTTTTTACTTTTTTATTTATAAGTTCTATTTATGTACCAGGATCTAAAATTTGTATGTATGTATTTATTTATTTTTATGTTGCTCAGGATGGAACCCAGGGCCTTGCACATGGCTAGACAGGTTCTCTATCACTGAGCTACACCCCCATCCCCTGTAGTTAAATGTTGGAAAACTTCTCCCCTATTGTTTTTCATTTGCCTCATTTTATTTCATGGTATTTTTTTCAAATGTAAAAGTTTTAAATTTTTATGTAGTAGAACATCAATCTTTTCTTTCATGGTTTCTTTCTTTGCTTTTATGCTCACACCCAAAGATATTTCTAAGGCCCAAATCTGATTGTACCTTTCCCTTGAAAAATCCTGGGGTTCTTGGGGAGGCAGTGCACCTCCTTATGGTGCTTCGGGCCTAGGCTGTTGCCACCCCATAGGTGCTTGGGATTCTAGTCATGCCAAGCAACTTGTACTTACTATTCTCTACTGGGCATCCTCTGCGTGGAAAGCCAGTTCTCCCTCCACCAGGCCTATGCCCCATCTCTAACCCCTCTAATTGTGTGTTATTAAAGGCTAGCTCAGACCTAGCAACTTCCTTTATCTTCAGTGTCCCCTTTCCCTTTGTAAACACCTGGTCCCCAGAGGGTCTCCATAATGATTTGTACAATGAATAACCCAGATGCCAAGCAAAGACTAAAATGGCTAGTACAGGCTGAACATTCTTAATTCAAAAATTTGAAACATGAAATGCTCCCAAATATGAAACTTCTTGAGCATCAACATGGTGCCACACATGGAAAATTCCACACCTGACCTCATGCGACAGGCCATGGGCAAAAAACAGGTACACAAGAAATACTGCATAAAATCGTCTTTGGGCCACATATAGAAGGTATATATGAAACATAAATGAATTTTGTATTTAGACTAGGGTCCCATCCCCAAGCTATCTCATTATGTATATGCAAATATTCCAAAATTGAAAACAATCCAAAATCTGAAACACTTCTGTTTCTGGATGAAGGCTACTCAACCTGTAGGAAAATTGCCTCTCAGGGTTAGTTTAGGATCAAAAGATTGGCCTGATGGCAGGGGGCTGAAACTCAGCTCTGAGCAATCAAAAGATGCCAGGCAGCACAGGCAGAACACTCAGAAGCCTGGGGACCGGAGCACTTGGGGAGCTGAGCAGCAGCCAAAGAGCAGGAGGCCAGGGGGCTGGTGGCACCTGGAAGCCTGGCAGGCAGGAGCTCAGTGCTGGGACTGGGTTTCCCCGAAGACTGAAAGGGACAGCATCAGGGAAGGACTCAGTTCTGAAAGCACCAGGCGACAGTCACCTGAAGCCCTCAACTGTAAAACAAAGACCTCCTTCCACCCCACAGCCTTCCCCACCCCAGCAAATAGCATGGCCACTTTCCACTTTCACAGGCTGGAAACTAGAGTCGCTTGGTTCCTTTCCCTCCTCCATGACACATCCCACCTGTCCATGAGTCCTGTTGGCTCTACCCTTGAAATATAGCCAGATCACGTATTGTAGGATTCCGTTTTAATGATGTTCTTGAAAAGGCAAAACTGTAGGGACAGAAAACATACCTATTGCTAGAAGCTGGGGCAGGGTGGCTGTGAAGAGTCTTGAGGGAATTTGGGGGCTGACGAAACTCTCCTGATGTCTTGAGTGTGCTGGTGATCATACAATGGTATGCATTTTCCAAAACTCACAGAACTGTGCGTGAGGGTGAGTTTACTATACCTTAACACACATATAGGGGAAAATATACTGGAGTCCAGCCTTTTCTCACCATCGTCATAGCCATCATAATTGGCTGTGATGCCAAGGGGCCATCATAATCTTGGATTCTTATTGTGATGGGATCTTCGTTGGTCTTCCTGCTTCTGGCCTCGCTTCGCCGTAGCCTATTCCCAGCACAGCACCCACAGTGGTTCTCAGAAAACAAAAAGCAGGGCCAGGGTGTAGCTCAGTGGCACAGTGCCTGCCTGGCAAGCTCGAGGTCCTGAGTTCATTCGCCAGTACAAACAAACAAACAAGCAAAAAAACCAAAAAGCAAATTTTGTTACTCTTGTACTCAGGACTCTCCAGAGGTTTCTCTTCTCCTCAGAGAAAGCCCTGCGTGAAACAATTCCCTGTTATTTCTCTGGCCTAATCTCCCTCAGTTTCTCCCACTCTTTCTTCCTCACTAATTCTCTCCATCACTGCCACGATGGCCTTCTTCCTCCCCTTGACTGTACCTGCGTGGCTCTCCTCAGAGTCAAAGACCAAGTTTCCGTAATGGCTGCCATGACCCTCAGTGGCACAGCCCTCTGCTGCTTCCCTGGTAATCTCCTAACTCCCTTCCTCATCCTACTCTCCACCCAACAGACACCACACCAACATCACGCCCTGCTTGCTCCTCCTGGCACTTTATGTGCTCACCTCTTGGGGTCCTCTGCCTGGAAGGTGCTTCTCAGTAATTTCCACTCACGGGGTCTGTATTCGTTAGATTTTCTGTGGCTAGGACAAACTACCTGACACCCATACTTAAAAAAAGGAGAGGTTTCTTTGGTTTCAGAAGTTTCAATTCATGGTTGGCTGATTGGAAGGCAGGAATATCATGGCAGAAGGGCATAGTGGAGCAAAGCTGCTCAATTGATGGTGGCTGGGAAGCAGCACAGGGGAAGAGAGCCAGTGAGAGATGTACCCCCAAAGGAACGTGCTCGGTGACCACCTCCAATGGAGCCCCACCTCCTAACAGCAATTCAGCTGCGAATCTCAGTGTATTAACCCACTGATGAGTATGGCAGCCTCATGATCCAGTCACCTCTCCAGGAGTCTCTTAATCCAGTCAAGTTAACAGTTAAGCTTAACCATTACAGGGTCCCTCTCTCATCTCTTTCAGGCCTTTGGTCACATAACATTTTTTCAGTGAGACCTTCCATTAGCACCCCCTTTGTAATTGCAGCTCCCCTGACCCAACCTCATCTTGCTATCTTCTGTCATCTTAACAGACCACAGCTCCATCTGACATACCGCATATTTTGTTTATTGTATGATTCCTCCTCATATTCATGAAGATAGGGGTTTTTGTTTTATCTTATCCCTCCAGCACCTAGGACATTACCATTTGCCTGGCAAATAATAGTTAGTAAAATTGTGTATATGGAAGAAAAGAAGGGAAGAAGGAAAGAATCCAAAGAACCAATCTTATGTGTTGACATCTCAGTGCCCCAGAATTTCACACTCAGTTCCTTGGCACTCATAGTCTTTGTGTTGGTCAGCTTTCCATCACTGTGACAAAATACCTGATATGAACAACTTAAAAGGAGCAAAGATATTTTGGCTCACACTTTCAGTCCATGGTCACTTGGCCCTGTTGCTTTGGGCCTGTGGTGAGGCCCAGCATCATGGTGGGGAGCACATGATGGAGCAAAGCTGCTTACATCATGGTATCTAGGAAGTGAAAAGAGAAAGAGAGAGGAAGGGGCAGGGACCCAATACCCCCTTCAAGGGTGTGCCCCCACAACCCAGTTTCCTTCCTCTAGGCCCACCTCCTAATGTTTCCATCACCTTCCATAGTGCCATCAGCCGGGGACCAAGCTTTTAACACATTATCTTTTGGGGGAGCATTTAAGATCCAAACCATACCAGTCTTTGTAAGCATGGAATGCAGTACAAGTCTATGTGTGTGGGTTCAGGTGTTTCAAGGTAGTGGCTTTCCTCCCTGCCTTTCCTTTTGTTTCTTTGCCACCTGAGATTGCTATGTTAACACAGGTCTTCTCTCAAATTTCTCTCTAGAAACAGATGTTCCAGGAGAGGAGTAGCCGGATGCTACAGGCCTTATCCCCGAAGCAGAGTCCTGTGAGCAGCCCAACCAGGAGCCGGTCCCCTTCCCGCTCCCCATCACCCACCTTCTCCTGGCTCCCGAGCAAAACCTCACCCCCGTCCTCGCCCAAAGCTGCCTCAGCCTCCATCAGCAGCATGAGTGAGGGGGATGAGGATGAGAAGTAAAGGTGGCTGTCAGGCAAGAGCCACACCACGCAGGATGGGGAGGGGGTCCTGGGGGATGCCTGGGTGGTGTCTGAAGGGGAAGAGTCACAGGAGCTGCTGCTCAGCAGGAAGACCCTGAGCTCTGCTAAGGGAAGGTCTTAGGATTAGTTCTTCCTCGTTCTCCACACAGCCCAGCATGGGCTCAGCATGGAGGTTTCCAGCTGGACAACCTATACAATCTTCTTAGCATCATCTAGAACCACTCTACTTTAACCTTGCTAAGGAAAGGTGCAGAGCACCTCAGAGAGTCTTGCACTGAGTGAGGTGACTTCTGCTTTGGTCTGTACACCCACTCCCTTCAAGTAAACCACTTGTGGACGTGGCTGTTCCCTCAACCTGCTACTTCTGGCTCTGTAAGGGCCCCGCACATTGCCTCCTAACACCCAACCTCTGCCAGAATAAATTTGTTTCCAATAGAGGCAGCAAAGTGCTTCTGAAATAGTAGAGTTAAAAGACAAATTCCAGCCTTCTCAGTTCATCCACTAAGACTTGATGTTGCAATGAATCAACTCATTCCAATTGCAGGACCATGGCCCAGTGATAAAGCCTCATTTTGGGCCAGATGTAAACGATGATCTAGTGTGAACCTTAACTTCTCATTAAAAGGTCAGTTTTGTTAAGGAGAACTCTATCTAAGGCCTAATGTGTTCCTGGCTGTACTTTCTCATCATTGGTTTGACTTCATTGTTTTCCAGAAATTACCTTAACCAATGGGAACTGCAACAAGGAAAAACATCCTGTATGAAAAAAAAAAGAGGATCTGCTTTTGCATTGACTCTAAATTTGGCAGATAAGAAATGTCTCCTGAAGCTTCTCTTTATAAAGGGTACTATTATGGAATGGCTTTCCCATTTCTGACCAGTTAACAATTCATAGACCTCAAGTAACAGTTTGATGTACCTACCAAACACATAGTATACCGATAGGGGGTGCTACTTGCACATATCTGTTCTATGTATGCTCCAAATATGCTACCCCAGGGTGTGTATCATATGCAATATGAATATGTGGTGGTAGCATTTTCCAATATACCCCTCTCCTGCTCTCTGCCCTAATACCCTGCTGAAATCCTCTATCTAAAGAACCATTTGGTTCCTTTGTGACTTGGGCACTTTGTCAAAAGCTCATGCCAGCTTCCCATAGAAATGTTTTGTCCCAACCAGGAAATTACTGTTGTTCTTATGGCCTCCCATAATATTTTTGGGTGAAGAAAGGCTCTGAAGAGTTTTGCTGAGTGCTGTGGGCTTAGTGCTTTGAACAGTCTAGGTAATGTTGTAGTTATCCCTGGAACTTAGGTTTGCCAAATGGGATGAAAACTTTTAGAATCCTGCAGAACTGTCTGAAGTTACTGCTCCCTAATCACATGTTGGAAATGAGCAGGTAAAGTCAAGGTTTAGAACCCAACTCTTGGGCAGATGCAAATATTGCCTGGTTATCCTGGTAAAGTCAGACAGAGCTGGGACCTGATTGAGCAGAAGCCCCAACCAGCAACTTGTGGGCAGATCCTATCACCTCTTGTGACAGAAAAACCTCTTTTCAGAGGCTTTGGGAAACAGCTTTCTGGGGGGAACCAATGAAGGAAGGTGGCATGTCTTTCCCTTTTGTATTGGGGTCTAACTACCTCCCTACCCACCTGGAGACACATGATGTTTATTAGAAAGTAAAACTATGAGGCTAAGCTGGCTTGGGACCTCCTTGTTCGTGTCTCCAGAATTCTGAAAAGCACTTGTACAGGACAGAGGGCTAGTAGGAAGATGGCCTGTGAGAAAGAAAATTCCTCTTTCAGTCAGGGTCCTCCCTTTTCACATCATTCTACAGAGAGAGAGAGGCAAGGGGTGCATTCTTCCAGCATGCTCCATTCTTCCATACTGCCTTCCACTGAGCACCCAGGACAAACAGGGCATGCATCCCTGCCACATCTGTTGATTGACGCTTGTAGCAGTGAAAGAACACAATAACAACCCTGGAAAGGGAAGAGAAAAGGGGAGAAGAGGCTCCTGGAGAGAGGGAAGAAGGATAAAGAAAATCTGCTCTATTAAGCCATTTCAAGACCTCATTTTGTAGGTGAAACTTTCTTGGGGAAGCCATTTAATGCTCTGGTTCTATGGCCCAGGGAAGATAGATCCACTTTGACCAGAGTCCTGCTCTAAAGTAAACTCTGGGATTGATGTATCAGGCTGACTATAAATTTGCAGGCCTTACACACGATACTGACAAGTGCCATGTATGTGACTCATCAGATAGTGCCACCATAACTGCCAATTATGGGAAATGACCAATGCCTGGGTTGTTCCAGGGATGGGCCAAAATAACCCTTTAGTGGGTCCTAAATCTCTTCTCCATAACCTTCAAAACTTTCCCACCTTCTTGAGGACCCAAGTCTCTTGAGAAGGAACAGGGAGGATTCTGTAACCCAGCCTTTGATACTTCTTGGACATCTTTCAATCTCTCCCAGCCCCTGTTGCCTACCTTCCCTGCACCCAGGAGGAGCTGGGATTGAGCTTTGGGCTATCCAGTCAACTGTCATGGCCAAGAGCAAGTTAAGCCTGAAATAGGAAATAGGGAATGTGTGCTGTAATCTTGGAGAGGTAAGCAGAAGCGACAGAAAGCAAGAGAAGAGATGCCTTTTGCTCTAGAAATAGAAGGAGAAATAGAAGGAGAGAGTGAGGAGGGCTAGTGGGCAGCACCTTAGGATTGTGGAGTGGGCAGGAAGTGAAGATGGGAGAAATAGGGCAGAATGGGCGGGGAGTGGGAGGGTACATTTGTTTTCTAGTACCTATCAAGGGTTAACTTAGCCTCTACCAGGTGAAGGAGAAGTTTCATTACAGTACATACTTCCAAGGTTAGTGGATACCCACACAGCAGGTGGAGTCCTTGCCTCTCCCTTCAGCACTTCCACATCCTCCTGACGGGGACCCTGAAATTAAGTGCTGAGTTCCTCCTCCAAGATAAGCAACTGAGGGTGGGATTGTAATACACAGTCACACTGAATGGCCTGTTTCTGGCAAGCAAGCTCCTGGGTGCCAGGTCCTTACAAAGACAAAGGCAAGGCAGCCTCACAAGGAGCAAGACACAGACATTGTGGAAGAGCCACTGCTGTGGGATTTGTCTTGCTCCATGTCTTAGGCTACTAGATGCTGATTCTGTCCTTTGAGGAAGGAACAGGAAGAGCACAGATTTATTTTCTCTCTATCTTCAGAACTTATTTTAGCACCCAGCCATACCCCAGGGAGAGACGTGACATGACGTCACTGGCTCGGCTGAATCAGATGAGCCACTATCTAGCAGAGATGCACTGGTGTCACAGGCATCCATTCAGCACTAGTCCAGGCCATCTGAGTTTAAAAAAAGAAATAGCTCATGAGACATACACAACTTCTCTTCCTCTTGTGACTCCTTTCTAGTTTCTGTATGTGTGTGTGTGTGTGTGTTTGTGTGTGTGTGTGTGTGTGTGTGTGTCACTGCAATGTGTCCGGGGACAAAGCCATAAGAAAAGCATACATACTTAAGACTCTGCTGTACATAGAAGACAAGAAGATGACTTGTCTGGGTTGAAGCACGACCTTATGCCCAAGCATTTGATTTGCTCTGGTGCTGAATAATGTGAATTACTGGAATCAGCTCCTCTTCTGGTACCCCCCTCTCCTTCCCCCTGCTCTCAAATGGAACACAGCAATCCTGACTCATTTATAAATAAAGGGATGCAGAATTGCCCTTTTGCTTGCTGTGTTTCTTAAGTGTGCTGTTGTGTGTTCCTGTTTAAGAGCTCTAGCTCGGAGATTTAGCTCAGTGGTTCTGCCATCTGCCTTGCAAGCACAAGGACCCGAGTTCAATCCCTGGTACCAAAAACAAACCAAACAAAGAGCTCTAGCTCAATGTGAAAAATGCAGGCACTGGAGCAGTTGTCCTGGAACATGGCTGGCTCTGGCCAACTGTGGCCCCAGTGCTCCCAAGGATTTGCCTAGGCACTGTGTGGAATGGGGCCAAGTCCTGAAGTTGCCAAATGACCACATCTTGATTTAAAAGATAGGAGGGTTGTGTGGGCATAGTTCAGTGGTAGAGCACTTGCCAAGCATGAGAGACAGGGAGAGTGAGACAGAGACAGAGAGACGAGAGAGAGAGAGAGAGAGAGAGAGAGAGAGAGAGAGAGAGAGAGAGAGAGAGAGACCCTGGGTTTGATCTCCAGCATCATCCAAACAAGAGAGAAACAGATCCACCTGGATGGACCATCACATACTGACCCAAGTCAGGACTCTGAATTTTAGGTCCCACCACTTGCTTTGTGACCTTGGCTAAGCCATTTTCTTTCTCTGGCCTCAATGCCTGCTTTTGTAAAATGAGTGGGTTGGAGGAAATGGTTTCTGAGATCTGGTTCTCCCAGCTACCATGCTGCCACTGAGTGACCAGGGGAATGTGCTTCCTTCTTACTGAGTGGGAAGCTGGTGGGGGGTGTCCTCCAGTCCTCTGGGGCCTCCACACCCAGCAGCATTGGTGACCTCACTTTCATACTTGGAGCAGGAAGATAAAAGGTGCTCCGGTTTCATCCACCTTCCTCATCTTGCCACTTGACAGAATGCTTTTCAAGTGTGCCTGGACTTTGGTAAGTGGCCATTTCAACCACTTTTTCCTCTTTGGGATAAAGCTCCCTTTGATCAGCTGGAGGTGGAGGTTCTAAATCAGGATGGAAAATGGCAATAGGGAAGGCAGACATTATGTTCTGATTTTCGTGTCCACACCCTCCCCTCACCAAATTTAGGAGCTTCCATCCATGTGGAGAGGTTTAGCTCTTTGAAATGACTACAGTTCTAACATTAGCCTGGGCTCTAGAATAAATGAAGCCATGGCTATAGTCAGTAATGGAATAAATTTTAAAACAGAATACCTATTATTCACATTATTTGGCTTTGCCATGTAAATCAAACACATTCTCAACAAGTTGTACTCAATGTAACAGTTATTGGCTTATTCTTGACTTCTATGATACCTCAGACACATTCCCAAGGGAAAAACAGTAAGTTCTAAGGTGTAGTAATCTCATATTTAAGGACCTTGATATTTGACCCAAAGAGAATTAGCCTTTGTTAGTAAACCCAACTCCTAGGGGAAATGGGATCCTATAAAAAATGTTCCCCCCACCCCACACAGTCCTCTTGTGTTGGAATCCTCATTGGCTATCGGAGTTGAATGTTTAAGAGACTTCTCCAAGTATTCAGCAGGAACTATTAGATAAGAAGACTCCTGTTGGCCAGGCATGATGGCACACACGCCGGTAATCCTTGCTACTTAGGAGGATGAGATAAAAGGATCGAAAGTTGGAGGCCAACCGGTGCAACTTAGTGAGACCCTGTCTCAAAGAAAACGATAAAAAGGGGTGGGGATGTAGCTTAGTGCTTCCTGGGTTCAATCCCCAGTACTGCAAAACAAAAACAAACAAAAATCACACAAGACTCCCACAGAGATTCTTTTAAGACAGTGTGATAATTTATACATATCCAAATATATCCAGTGATCAAATCCTTTAAGAAACCACCAAACAAAAACAATAAATAACCAGTAAAATCTGAAAATATCATTAAAAGTACAAATATCTGTTGATGCCAATTAAGACATGTTAGGTCTTTCTGAACTGCCATAACTTGCATTCTAGAAAGACACTATGTTAGCAAATTTCAGCTGCAGTTGACCAAATGTGGGAAACATGAGGAATGTTCCATTATATTGACTTGTAATGTACCACAAAGTTACTAAATGCAGTGTTGATGAAGAGATTAGATACAACTAAAATATTTGATATATAACCTTTCATTTAAAAAAATGAATGAATCTATAAAGAATATGGAGTACTTTGCCCTTTCCACGGGAAGATCTCCAAATTACTATACTTGCAAATAACCCTGTTACCCTAAAATTTCCAAGTCTAAAGAAAGCCTGTTATCATCTGCCACGTATGTGGCAGGTCATGACTCATGACATAGTTTGAGAAGGTAACTAGACTTTCTTGTTTGGTAATGTTGCACTGGACAGATGTTGGCAAGATGCCATTATTAGCCTAATCACAAATCTACATTAGCACCACTGAGTCACTGATTACTTTTCCATTTGTTTCCATATTTGGCACCCACAGATGAATGGATGAATGGATAGAAGAAGTTGAAGAGGTATATATAAGTTTCCTATTGCTGTAACAAATTGTGAAAACTTTAGTGACTTATGACAACACAACTTTATTATTTTACAGTCCTGGAGGTCAGAAGTCCACAATGGGACTTAATGGGCTAAAATTAAGCAGATAACAGCAATTCCTGTCTGGTGGCTCTGGCGGCAGGGGCCGGGGGGAGATCTGTGATCTTGCTTTACTTTGGTCATAGGCCCCTAACATCTTCAAATCCAGCAATGGTCAGGCCAGTCTTTTTCATATGACACCCTTCTAACAGTCTTTCTTCTCCCCTTTTATGAGGTGTGATCAAAATATATGCTGAATGTTTAAATTTTTTAAAGATTTATTACGGTAAAAGACACAATGCCATTAATCTCCCTGAAGATACTCCCTCTTGCTTCAGACACACTTATCTCATGGTTCTTGCCACTTTCTGAAGCAGTTCTGGAAATCTTCCTTGTCTTTATGAGGTGTGATCAAAATACAGTGAATGCTGTTTCCCAGTGTCATTTATCAACAAGGCAGGCTCATAAAAACATCACCATGCATCCTCATCCACCTTATTCACGGATCCGGCATTGTGTGACTTCTGGCTCTTTCCCAATGTCAAAATGAGCATGAAAGATAAACTTCTTGAATTGATTCAGGACATGGAGGTGGCCACAACAGTGCAACTAAAGACACTCATAAAAGAACTTCAAGAACTGCTTTAGAATGTGGCAAGTATGATGATGGATAATTGTGTTCAAAGTGAAGGGGAGTATTTTGAGGAGAATGAATGGCAATGTGTCTTTTACTGTAATACATTTTTAAAAATTTAAATATTTACCATATTTTAAAATCATATCTTGCTATATGAGGGCCTCGTGATCACATTGGGCCCACCTGGATGATCCCCATTTTAAAGGATCAGCGATTTTATCAGAAACCTTAACTACTTCTTGTAATACAACATATTCCCAGGTTCTGAGGATTGGAGAGTCATTATTCTGTCAAAGATGACCTAGAACAGTGGTCATAAACCTTCAAATCTTTTCCAGGTAAAGTAATAATAATAATCTTCAGGTAGACAGATTTTCTTCCTAATATTCCTATTTAGTATTTAAATTTTTATTTATCAGCTACTAGGGATTACCTTAACCATGTCTTGAGTCTTGACATCCACAAGAGAAGCATGGAATAAATAATGGGAGATGTCATACCCAAATGAATGACTAATTGGTCCATAAGGTAAGGGCACTGAGTCCTTAACTCACGAACACAGAGCATGGCTGGTAGAAAAGGGAGATTAACAGGCCCCTTCCCGTTCCCTGTACATATCCCCCAATCCACATGTGGCTATACCAAGAAAATAAGAAGTGAACAGGGTGGGTAGCTGATATCTTTGGTCACTGGACATGTTCCTGCTGAAACAAGCCCAAGGACAGTTTCCGTCTATCAGGCTGAATCTATTTTCCTGTGTATCCTTTTGTGTGTTTTTTTCCCTGGTTCTTTGGATGCTGACCATAGCTGTTTAAGCTGGGATTCATTTTCAGCCACCCAATATCAAGCTACTCCATCCTCCTTTCCAGAGTAACTTATTTTCCTGTCATGGCCCTGATCTGCATTCTAAATTGAGGTCTGCCATACATTCCCATCTGAAGTAGTCAGTACACATTTGAGTAAGCCGATAGGCACTGAAAAGATGAAAAAGGACAGAAACCCCTGCTGCTAGCCCTCAGTTTCAGTTGAACAGCCCAACTCTCAGCTCTGGTCTCTCCTGTATGTCTCTACCTTGGTTCCTGCTGAGCTTGTGATGAAAAGTCCACATTTCTGGCCATCAAAACTTCTGATTCTACCAAAGAGAATTTTGTCATTATTTTACTAACTTCCTAATTTTGCATTATTTTGATACCATCTTTGGGAAGGAGTGCTCGGTCTCAGAATGTAAAGGTTGTCAACTCTTACTCAAAGTAGGGGAAAATAAGGCCTTGACAAATAGGCCTGCAGTCTTTCAGGGAATTGTATAAACTCTCCTCATTGGACAGAGCCAGTTTATGAATGAGATGGTCATTCTAGGCCTGATCCTAGAGTCTTTGGTCCCAGAGGGACTAATGGGTCTCTTTCACCTGAATAGTGGGGCATTTATTTGCCCTCATAAACGGTTACTTCATTACCAGTTGAAGCCCTAGGAGAACAGCTTTCATATAGAAAGCTCCATTCCAATTATTGTGCTAAGGTGACAATAATTATCTTTAACTGTCATAAAATTACACTATTAAACTGTTACTAAGAAACTGTCAAAAGCATCCGCATCCATCACTGTTGTTGAAATTGCCAACATGTTTATTTTGTTTGAGGACTGGCAAATTCTGTTTGGACGAGAATGCCAGGGAACACTAAGAGCAGCATTAGCCCAGCTTAGAGTTTTATGCACAGAAGGAAATATCATGGCTGTGTATTTGGACCCAAATCAAAACTGACAATGTCTTTTTAAAAAAAAAATTCCAATGACCCATTAAGCAGAACATCAGTAAAACTGCACGGATCCTAGGCTTGCTCTGTGCCAAGGAGATGGATTTGCTGCTGCCAGCATTCTAGCTATTCTCAAAGGCTGTTCTACAACTTGGACCTTACAAGTGCTTTTCAACCATATCACATGTTAGTGTCTCTGAGGAAACTAACAAAACAAAAACAAAAACAAGAAACCTTCCCAGAGTCCCTCTGATGGATCTAAAGTGGGGTCTAGGTCTCCGAGATTAATGTGGAGCCAGGTTGAGATCCTCCTGGCTATAGTAATACTTCAGCTCAGGGAACAAAGCGAGCCTGAGAGTAGCTGGATTCAAAGATGTGGATGACCGATGGCTTGTGTAAGAAAAATGAGAGCTGATTTGCTAAGTGGCCACAAGAAAAGGTCTAAATATTATCTTGTTATTTTCTTATCCAGAGAGATTATGTTGATGAAAATGTCATCAATGAGCACAAAGCAAAGGATTCATTTTAAGGCAAACATTGAGATGATGGTTGCTATCAAGCACCTATCCCAGTAACTGGTGAAAATGGGTGCTTGACGTTAATTTTTTAAAAAATTCAACAGTTGAAATGGCAGATAACTGCCAGGTCCAACAATGGTTGCCACTAGTGATGTGGCTGTTTAAAGAATTCAATTTAAAATTTAGTTTCACATTTTAACCATTCAGGTGGCTAGTGGGGAGTGGAATGGACAGCACAGAGAGCGCTTCTGTCATCACAGAGTTCCAGTGGCGGACAGTGGTCTGCAGAAATCCTTCTCAGAGGCAACCCCTTCTACATGATGCCTTATGATTTATTCATGTGATCAAAGTGTAAATCTATGTGCTATTATGAAGCAAACATCTGAAAGTATTATCAGCAGATAATCACTTGTAAGCATGCATTATTAAGTCATTAGGAAAGGATTTTGAGATGAAGGACAAGAAGGTAAAAACATAAAGTGCAATGCTCAGGAATAACTTCATGAACTACATGATCCCGGGAGTCTCTTTGAGTGTAAGCCATACTTAGTGAATTTCAAACCATGGCAGGAGCAGCTGCTATGAGAATACCATTCCCAAGTCATGAATGATGTCTTAGCAGAGCATTTTCAGTAAAATACAGATGTATAATTTTAAAGTTCAGACTCAACTCACAATCACTTTCAAGAATCACTGGTTTGTATTCTTTGGGAAAAGTAGTTAACAAACAACCTGAACGTAGTTATTTATTGTTTCCCATCTTCGGTTTTTAAGGAGCATCATAAAACATCAAACTTGCTAACAGCCTTGGACTCCACATGGTTCAACTCCCTAATTTTAGAGATCAGGAAACTAAAGCAAGTAATAGGTAGAACATGACTTCTCAACATTAACTCTCCCAAATAATCATTCAAATGCAAGGTTTCTGCCTCAAATCTTGAGGAAGTTTGTCTTTTAGTGAAAAATACACAATATATCAGTTGTGTGCTTTTCATATTGTAAAAAAAGAAAATATACCCCTTCACTACTGAATATTTAGTAAAAGAATGTCACATTGCTAAATAACACCAAGATTATTTCTCTTTATTTGGGAAGCATATAATTGCACCTAAATGTCTTTGGTGGCACGGCGTTCTGGTGTTGCCTGCTTTCCTCCCAAGAGACCATAAAACCAATAGACGTTTTATTGAAAAATTCAAGTTGTCATCAGGACATTCCATATGGCAGGTCTCACACTTTTAAAAGAATTCCTCTGGGGGGATTTGTTAAAATAGATTCCTAGGCCTTAGCCCCAGGAAATATGAATTAGTAAAGCTGAGGAGCCCAGGACATTGCATTTAGACAGCCTTTCAGATAATTCTAGCATAGCTGCTCTATGACTAGGCCACCCCAGTTTGGCCAGGACAGTTCCAATTTGCACCTGTTTACACAGGTTGTGGCCTAATTAGTAATCCTCTTTCACTCTAAAAAATGTCCTCAAATGTACAATATATTGTATTTTCTTTTTCCCCAATCCATGCACTGTATTTTGAAAAATACCACCGTAACAGTTTACTCTTACCAATTCCTTTATTTTGCTTCAAGGGTGTTTCCCGCAAATGGGAGGGTTTCCAAATAACCTATTTTTCTATCACAAGAATTTAAGTAATCATCTTTGTGCACTACCAGCAACTTGCAAAGATCTTTGCAGCTATTGTATTGAATTTCAGAAACCGAGAGAAAAGATGAAGTCTTTAAGTGGGACAGTTGAGAATACAGTTCAGAAAACACCACACAGCCGAGGATTTAGCTCAGTGGCACCGTGTCTGCCTTGCAAGCGCAAAGTCCTGAGTTCGATCCCTGATACCCGGGTGGGGGGGGGGGAGACCACACAAGTGCGGTGTGAATCACAACTACCATTTTATTTTTCTGATTATTGGGATACAGAATTGTCCATGTGCTCCAGGACTAGTTTGCTATGATGGATACCAGATTGCTCTGTGACTTATGGGGAATGTTATCTGGGCCACACACTTCTCTGGTCATGTTTTCCCAACAATCACAAAACACTTTCTCCACGAACATGGAATGACAAAGCACCCCACCCAAAATAATTTTTAACTCATTATGGTGTGTACCAGCGAGGCCACAGAACAGCACAAAGCAGGGGGTGGGGGCTGGGCTTTACAAACCACAAGGTTGCTCCAGAAAACTAGACACACGTGTACATTTATCACTGTAACTAAGGTGAAAGAGGTACAGAGCAAACCAGGTCAATTTGGACTCATGGGTACAAATACTGTAAAGAACATTTATTTCATGTGTAAGTTAAAATTTTTCTCTTATCAAATCAGCAATCATTCCCAGTTCAGATACTACTTTGATAAGTGAGTTAGGAAGAAAAACTGGTAGAGCAAGAAACCTTGCACTTAACTGCAGCATCAGCTATGTTCACAAAGGTGTATTTCATTCCGAGATGGCTTCCTACTCAGTTCAAGCGTGTCTTAGGCATTCACAAGTTGTGTTATAGATCTGAGCAATGTTTAAAGTTTAAGCACTTGAATACTCTTGTGAGGTTGTAAACTTAAGAGCAGCAGATGATGTGTATATAACCCTTAAGAAGCAAGTACGACTTCAAGTGATTTGAACACCAAGGAACTCTGGAGAGACAGGGTTAGCCAGAATGCTAAAGCTAAAACTGTGGCATGTTGCCCAGATCTGACTCAAACACAATTGCACTTTCTAATCAGAGGGTAGCATTCAGGTCTAGCACTGTGCAGCATGAGAAAAGGAGGCTGTAACAATGAAAAGACTGGAAACGAAGGAAGCAAGAGAACTCGATTCCTCCAACATTGAATAAAGGCCACTGCAATTTTTAAATCCCTCGGTGCTCTATGTTTTCTAGGTAAACTTTGCCATGGGTGTCCACTCATCAGTCAAGATACTTTAGTTTAGTCTAAAAATATTAAGTATATGCACCATTTATTGGTCAAAATAACTTGTCAGCTCTTACATAGACTTTTCAAAGTGCAAAGCAGGCTACAAAAAGACATTATGTGACTTATTTCCCAAGAACAGTTACACAGGCATCCAGGGGAAAAGGTAGCGATATAGGACTATGTTGAGCTCTTTCTATTTAATTTTTGTGTTAGTTACAACAGCCAGAAAAATCCTGCCTCCTGAGAGGACTTGCTTGGCAAGAGGCAGGTGAAACCCAAAAGAATCAGCCTGGTCCTTCTTCAATGGCAGGCAGCCTCAAGTTTTTTCCGGTCTCTATAGTTATAGGCTTTAGCTTTAATTCTAATTAAAGTCAGATAAAGGCACAAGCCAGTTCTTACTGTGAATATATAGTGCCTTTCAAAACATACATTGAGGTTTCTGACAGTTGTAGCAGTTCAAATGATAAAAGGAAAATAGAATTTTTAAGAAAGGGATGCCATGATTTAAACAATATAACATTTTATACTCATTCTACCTGATTTCACACACTACTTTTGTGACAAGTCATTTAGCATGGCTTACAATCAGATTTAACTTTCTTAACTTCTTTGTTAATGTCTAGTGTATGTGAACAACCAAGAGTTAGCAGTGAATGCTAAGATTCTTTTTTCGCTCAAAAAGAATCTCAAGTAAGAATACTTTAAATTAGGTAGTTCTGTTGTTCATATACATCCCGTTCTAAGTGTGCCATTTTCAATCAATTTGGAAGGCAAAGATGAATCAGAGAGTAGTTACACCAGTCGTACATGCCACTTAGACATTTCCTCACTCTGGTAACCAGGGGGCAAATACTGTTTCATACATATATGATCTTTCACATTTCTGCAGCGTTGGCCCATTTTTAAAAGTTATCCAGAGTATTTAAGCTAACAAGTCAATTTTAGGTTAATGGAAGTTAGAATTACTTAATGCAATGTTCTTTTAAGTGAAAGTTTATTATCCCAAAAGGAGTCAGTTTCAGTAGAAAACAGAATCTTCACTGAAAAGCCAAGAAGTACGTACATTATCAGACAAAGTAAAACTGCAGGGGAGAAGTGTGATTCCTCCTCGACAAAGGACATTTGGGTGTGATTCCTCACGAAAAGGGCAAGTTCAGGTTTCCTGGGTAATCTCACCTTCCTAAAGTGACAATACTTTTGACATTCTAGCTTAAATTTAGACAAGAACTATTAAATCTGAACATACAGTGGTATAGTCCAAGATTCCTATGGGATTCTTATCGAAGGCTATTCCCTGAGACAGGAAAGGGTAGTGAATGTTTAATTCTCGGAGTACAAAAAGGTATACATATAAAATCACTTTCATCTCTTCACTCCTCCCTTTCAAGAAATTACTAAAATAAAAACATTTATCACCATGTTTTAGCTTTCTAAAAATGCTTCCCTTTAAATGAACATTATTGCAAAGCCACATACAGGCTGGGTAATTTCACATAAACTCTCTCCCCTGATACTTCTTTTAAAACCATCAGTGGTATGGAAACAAAGATACCTTTCTTACAATGTACACGTTTAGTGAAATCCTAAAATAGTTAGAATGCAACTGTAATTCTTCATTTTTGGAAACTATAATAAGAAAAAGTTAAGAAAACTTAACAGAATCTTAGTATGATTAGAACTTTTAAAGAATGCAAGTTTAATTCTGTACTTTTGGAAAATATAATGTGAAAAACAAATCCAAAATACCTCTCTATGTAAATTAAAGCTCAAGCCATGGTATTCAAAATTAAAATAATTTACATAATCTACTATACTTTGTGTTTTTTAGTAATTAACCTTCCTGAGACTGATTTTGTTCTCCTTAGAGTTTTCTTAACTAAAGTGCTTAATAAAATTTCTACAGAATATATTACCCTCTCCATAGATGAATATTATTTTGAACTACAATCTGACAAAAATCTAGCTACATTTAATTATGCTTGATTAATCCAAATGTCACTGAGAGATTTATAGAACAGAAAAGTATTTTTCAGGTTAAGTTCATACTCTTCATTGTGAGCTTCCCGGATCCAGTATTACAACAGGTTTACTGTCTCAATTCTCTAACATTAAGAAAAGCCCCACAAAAATGTTTCCACTAGTCCAAAATGGACCAAGAGACTCCTAACATGAAGCTCTTTTTCTTATCATTGTCAAGAGACTTGCAGACAGACCCGTTAAAGGCTTGGAATTGCGAGGTGCTGCAGCTTGGGTGGAACTTTTGGGTGAAGAGATGTACACACAGGGTGTCTTGTGGATTTAATTAAAACAGTGAAAGAATATTAGCGTGAGGTAAGAGGGGGCTTTCTTTTAACACAGGCACATAACTGTAATAGACAGTTGTTCAGAGACCGTCAGTAATGACGCCCCAAGGTACTTTTGTTCATATGCAAATAAGTCAGTTTAAAGGGTGACAAATTGCCCTACCTATGGGAATAATTAAACATATCCCATCTCCTTCTCCAGTCAGCTAAACCTCCCACTGCTGCAGCACTCTAACCCCAGAGGTGTCCAAACAGGCGAGTGTGGAGAACTCCAAGTCTCTGATATACCCTCTAAGGGAAAGTGGTACCACTAACACCCAGAGTGGCACAGAGCCGCATGTGGTACACATGAAGTGACAGCCTGCATCCAGGCCCATCGAAGTCCCACGGACATGGGGGGAATTCATGGCCCTATTTTAGAGACAGATGGAGAGCTGGAGAGGTTTCTCAAGAACTCTGTGACTAAAATACTTTATGTCCCTTTTGGTCTCCATTTCGGGGGCATACACAGCTGGTGCCAACCTGCAAACTGAGAGGAAAGTCTTCTCAGACAATCCTTTTCCTCCACCTCTAAAATGAGTTTGAAGTGTTAAATAGGGTCTCTTCTGAAAAGCAGCCATTTTAACTCCAGCAGCATCATCCAGATGCTTGAAATTTTTATTTAAATAATGATTTCCTAAAGCCCAAGAAGACATATCCAGAAGTTGCAGTAATTTGTGTTTTTGCTGTGAGGAAAGAACAGCCCATGTTATTCGATGAAATTTGATTGGAAAAGTTGGTCCCTCTTATTTGACCACTGCTCCTGCTGGTCAGCAAGACAACTGAAATGGGCTTGTCCCCCATTTCCCTGAAGCCCCAGTGCAGGGACCTCGACAAGGTCCCCTACTGAACTGATCACAGAGTCCAAATTCAGATAAATAGATACAGAGGAGAAAAGAAGTTGAAAATCACTGGCCCTTCCTCCTCTGAGGAACACACCTGCAATGAAAACAATACTTAGCAGCTCTGGTGCTGCCCCCATCTCATTTTTCTCCATTGCACTCGTCTCCCAAGCAAACTATAAAATTACCTGATTTTGTTTCTAGTCTGTCTTCCCTACTAGACTGTGAGCTCAGGAAGCAGGGATTTCGCTCTGCTTTGATCACTGCTGTGTGCCCAGCATGTAGCAAGTTTCTAGCATGCAGGAGACACTGGATATTATCTACATGGAAGACTGAACATCACTTTCCTTCCCATGACTCCTCTACCTGCCACCATCACTTCATGGTCTCCCATACACAAGGGTGCCTGTGTTCAATTCTCCACTTGACATCAGCACAGACTGGGGCCAAGTCTGACCATAGGGGAAGGTCTTGCTTCAAGTAGAGTTGGGTGCACACAGCAAGCCAGTCACTTGGCTCGTGATTGTTATGCAGGAGCACTAACGGTGACAAGAGTTTGCTGCTGGTTGTCTAGTGGAATGTACTGGCCACTGAGGCAGGAAGGGAGGCTTCAGTCCCACAGATAAGCCAAATAAAACCCCCATCTTGTGATCTACCTCAAAGGCACTTTAAAACATTAACCCACATGCTTCCATGGTAGGCCCCAGATCTACAGACCATGTGAGTGGGTATTCATATATAACAAAACGAATTCTGATGAAGACTTAACATCTTTCTATTTCTTAATAAACCAAGTTTAGCCGGGGATTTAGCTCAGGGGTGCCGTGCCTGCCTCACAAGTACAAGGTCCTGAGTTTGATCCCTGGTACCAAACAAACAAACAAACAAAACGTATTTTAAAATGGGTTGTTTGAAAAGGCAGGTAAGAAAACCTGTGGCCCAGTAAAACTCTCAGAGGGGGAAACCCACTTGAGTGAGACAGCTTGACTGCAATCTGCTCATCAAAAGAGCTTAAGCTTCTCTGATAACTCTGATTATTAGTTTGAAATATTTTTCCATATTTAACTAATTAACCATTGTCAATAGCCAATAACTTCTTGAGTTCATGAAAATGTCACATGTCCCCTGTTTTTAAACCAGAAGGTACTGATATCTCTAATGGGTAGAACAGGAACCTGAGTTAAAAGTTATCTTTCCACACAGAACAGTAAACAAAAATCCTGTATTGATTAAATTGTTAATGGTGCTTTCCTGCTGGCAATATTGGTTCCTTCTGTTTACTAACATATAGATTATGAAGGACATTATCTTCAAAGTCAATGTTTAAGCACCTGGACCACTGGGAAAGATGGCAGAGTAAGTGCCTGTTTATATAAGTCCTCCTGCCCTCCAACACACACATCCCAAAATTGAGCCAGAAGCTGTCTATAGTGAAACTAATAAAAGCCACAACCCATACCACGAGCTCCAGGGGAGTGTCTGACGATAAAGCAAAAGAGACACATTAATACACTCTAGAAAAAGAATGAATTCAGAAACTATGAAAAATATAGACAAAATGCTTTGGCCCTCAAAGAAATGAAATAAGGAATCAAAGAGGATGACAGGGGGCCGGGGATTTAGCTTAGTGGTTTCGCTGCCTGCTGTGCAAGCGCTAGGACCCGAGTTCGATCCCCAGTACCAAAAAAAAAGAGGATGACAGAATGACCTACGGGAAAAAACAGTTTAAAAAAACTAACAAGTGAAAGCCATATTACAAGCAACAGGGCCTAGTCTCTCAACAGTATAGAAACCTAAGTCTGAAACGGAGGATAAGTCTTGACGAAAAATCACCCGGCATGAAGGAAGACAAGGAGATGAAAGCCACCCAAAGACAAACGTGAAGGGCAGATGACAGAGAGCCAATGGAATGACAAATTCTTTAAAAAGAGAACAGAACAGATACAAAATGCAATAAGGCCTAAAATATCAGCATCTAATTGCTCGTTGTATACCAGAAAAAGTCAACAGACAACTGTCAATCCTGAGATAAACTCAAATGACGTTACCGAATTTCAAGAATAAACAAAGAATCACAGGTATCCATGGCAAGCAAGCAGGTTATCTACAAAATGGGGAGAGAAGTCCATCTGGACTCAGACTTCTCATCACCACCAGATATGGACAACAATAAAGTAACATCCTGAGAGAACTGAAGGGAAAAGGAGGTGCTCCAAGAATCCAATAGCCAGCCAACACATACATCATAAGTAATGGCAATAGAGAGACATGTGTAAATATGAAAGGGAGTCTAACCGACCCTATAATCCAGTCCACCAAAACATAAAAGCATCAACTCTTGAATGTGGAGTCTTTGTATGAACGGGCTGGCAGTGAGCACTGATTTCATTCAAACATGGTATTAAGTCTAACCAACTCTAGTAATTACCTACAGCTATACACTTTAAGTTGCCTGCCTTTTTAGGTAAAAGCTGCCACATTCATTTGACTTTCTCCACTGATTAACTATACCGAAATGGAAACACACAAAAGAAAACCTCTCCTGAGTGGAATTACCTTGCATTACAGAAAATTTTTGGTTTAAAGCTTACCCCTGAGGATTAATATATCCAAGAAATTCCTCAAAAGGAATAACGCTAATTGCCTGGTATATTATTCAGAGCACTAACCTAGAGAACAGGAAGATCCAACTACTCGCTTTGGTTCTTCTATTCACTTAGCAGGCCACCTTGGCAAACCACTTAACTGCTCTGGGATTCATGTGAAAGTCGAGAAGTTCCTGTGTGGTCCACCTGCCTCATGGCATTGTAAAGGATCAGATGGTATGCTGAGCGTAAAAGTTCTTTGGAATCTATAAGCAAGGCTGTAAAACTATGTCACTGGATGGAAAGAAGCCCTGTATTATGGAGCCAAAATCAGATATTCAGAGATAAAAAAGGCATCAGATGGTTCCTGCGGATCTTTCTCTATACTTTAAAGCCATTTCGTAGCACTATTTTAAAAAAAGAAATTTAGTGCTTCCAAAGCCCCCGACCTGAATTATTACTGTTTTGGAGATAGCTTAAGAACTTAGATGTTGTCCCACTACCCAAGGTAAATGTCTGTCAGTTTCCAGTCTTTGATTCAGCATTTATTAAGTATCTATTATTTGTCAGGCACTATTTCAAGTAGTAGACATGGCCCCCAAATGATGTAAAGGAGAGGGCATTATAGAGGAATGGGGAAGAATTTGGCTGAAAAGGGGCCAATGTTTGTTTATACTACCATTTATATGTAGAAATCTGACCACTGGCTTACCGGCAAAGCCAGCAAACAATTAAGAGATGTGCTTAAGCTCAGAGGATCATATACAGCCAAGAGAAAGGGTACACGATAAAGGATAAAGGGGCTGACAAACTGAGAAGGCAGGATGATCCTCAAACTGTTTTTGAGAATGAAATGAAGGATAAAACTTGAGAAAAAATTCTTAATGAAGAAAAAAGACAGGAGACAGAAGCCAGGTTGTACTGGGGTCAGGTGCATATGAGTAAGCTCTAAAGCAGTGATGGCGAACCTATGGCACGCGTGCCACGGCCAGCTGTTTGTTATCACTGAAAGCTCCAAAATGTTTATCATCACTGCTCTGAAGTACATTGAGTCATTGAAACACTGAAATAAGATTTTGCTTTTGAAAAATACTTGTCAAGAATGCGACAGGATTTTTCTACACCATATTTTCCATATTCGACCCTTCTAAGGTGCTTGTTTGAGGGCTTGGCAGCACTGGGGCACAAGGCAGTAGTAACATGACCCAAATCTGCTGCCTCCTTTCCCCTAGAGCAGATCCCACTTAAAAGTATAAAAGAGGACAGTTGGGAGCTGGGGCCTAGTAAGGTAGGAATACTACCTAATGTTTATATGGAAGCTAGGGCCTTTAAATGTAAAGGACCATTCATTTTACATCTTTTATTTTCTGCAGTGCTGGGGATTGAACCCCGAGTTTTGTGCCTGCTAGGCAAGCTCTCTACCACTGAGCTACACCCCCAGTTCTTTTCTTAGATTTTTATTTTGAGACAGGATCTCACTAAATTTCGCAGCCTGGCCTTGAACCTGCAATACTCCTGAGGAGGCAGGATGACAGTCAGGCACCACCACATCCAGCTTACTTTTACATCTTTTACACCATAAGCGAATAATCACACAGAACAGCCCCATTGCCGAGACAATGACTTGGATCTCAACTGCACAAGCTGCCCCATGGCCCACCTCAACAATCTCTTGTAAGTACATTGATACATCTTTTACTTGACTGCTTATATATGAGTTCTCTGGTGAGATCCTTCTGAGGACAGAAGAGACAAAATCCTTCTAAAGATGAAAGAACCTACCATGAGCTCAGGTAACATAATGACATGGAAGAAACCCAGGTTCAGTGAAACAAGAGAAACAGAGTTGCAATTAAGCCAAGTACAGCTGGTCATAGCCTACCTCCTTCAAGGGAGAAAAAATCCCCACTATGGTGGCAGTGGGGCAACTGCATTGCCACCGTCATGTGACTAAAGGATGAAGATGACTTTACAACTTCTTTTTTTTCCGGTACTGGGGGTTGAACTCAGGACCTTGCGCTTGCGAGTTAGGTGCGATGCCACTGAGCCAAATCCCCAGCCCCTACAACTTCTAAATCAGTAGACCTAACAGTGAAAAATTTGACTGACATGAAAAATAACAGTCTTCGAAGAGAAACACAACCTATGGAGTTGTATAAGATGCTACTTTTAATGTGGACTCTCAGCGAGCTTCTATTACTAAGAGTAAATATAACATCATTCCTCTTTCCTTACCCAAGTCCCCTGTTAATTCTCACTTCCAATTCTAGCAAAAAATAAGGGAATGTGAAAATCAGATTGAGCTGATAAATCTAAAACTGGCTGAAATGAATGAAAATGAAAATGATGAAGGCCCACAGTATTTTTCAAGTAAACTAGAAAGGACTTTTCCCTTTGGTAGTCTATTTTACAACTAGTAAAGTGCATGACACAGGAACTTCCAATTCCTTAAGAGACCACAAAGGAAAATGACAAAGATATAGTGTTAGACTAGTGCAGTTTCTACAGGAGAAGAAAGTCTCTATTTCCCATTCTTCATAAGCCTAGTACTGATCACAAAGCAATTTTTCACTTACGATCTTTGAAATTAAGCCACTAAGTGAAAAATTCCAAGACAACTTTTGGAATGCTTTAATCAATGGAATGGAAGTATACAAATGAATTTTAAAATAATATCAATGCATCAGTGGGTAAGACCCAATATGAAAGTACCACACCTCATAATGAGAATGCAGAGCAGATGGAGGAAGGCAAACCCAATCAGAGAGTGGAGGAGAGATGCATAGCAGACTCTGAATTCTCAAGATGTGCTCAGCTGCTATCTTCTATTTCTAGATTCCCAGACCCTAGCTGGAAGTTTGGGGCAAATGTGGTATTTGGTCCCAAAGAGCAGCAGCAGGAAGTGCTGCATCTGGGATGGGGAAGGAACTCAGAATCCAGGGAAGACTTGAGACACTAGGCTCTAAGATGATGAGATAGGCAGTGCAAGGGTGCAAGTGCTCAAAAGGAGGCTCTGTGTTCTTTTGTGATAGGCGCCAACCACGTCACAGCAAAACAACATGAAAAATTACTTGAGTTACTACTTTAGTGGAACTTATGGCTAGAATAACTACAGGAAGGGCTCCATGGAAAGATCCAGCAGGTATGGAAAAAATACACACTCAAGCACTGGGAATAATTCAGAGTTGGTGGGGAAAAGTGCTCTCTCGTTGACTTGCAGAAGATCATCTTTCTTCACAAGAGAGGACAACAGCATTCAGTTCCTCACAAAGTTCTATTTGTCTTGATCTTGTCCCTGTAAAGAAAAGAATGGGAACATCCATAGTGAGTTTCTGGGTACAACCTCCTCTATTTTAACCGACACATAATCAGAGCATTTATTTACAATGATAATTCAAAATCTCTGCCTTACTCAGAACCCTTACTTAGAATTATTTTCTGCAGTTACTACAGAAAAAGAATAATCATTTAATTATTCATTTGTTTTTCAAAACAATTCTTTACTCTCAGTTAAAAATGTGATCATAAATGGGAAGTCATGCTAATGGATATGGGATTTCTTCTTGCAGTGATGAAAATATTCTGAAATTAGATAGTGTTGGGGCCGAGGATTTAGCTCAGTGGTTCCAGTGCCTGCCTTGTAAGTGCAAGGTCCTGAGTTCGATCCCTGGTGCCAAAAAAAAAAAAATTAGATAGTGTTTATGGTTGCAAAAGTCTGTGAATATACTAAAAACAACTATACTTTGAGAGAATCGTATGATATGTGAATTATATCACCATAAGGCTATTACTTATAAAAGAAAGTCTAAAGAATTTTCTTAGACTTCCTCATGTATAAATAAATACCTAACTTCCCCTACCTATTACTTTTCCAAGATCTCTACCAATTATCTTATTTATATAGCTTAACAGCTTAATTGTTCAACTAAATATTTTAGAATTTAAAAAAGTGTTTTCTGCCAAAATTCATTTCTCTAGCAATATATTAGAAATGGGAGACTCATACGTACAACCTGATAAACTATTTAGAGTTTTAAAATTGCTTGGAGAACAACATTCAATTAAAGCTACCTCAAAATCCAAATGGACCTTTTTATTCAGAAAAATGACTTCTGTATTATCAAATTAATCTACCAATCACACTGACAGTTTGAATTAACTGATGCCCAACATGCTATCTGGCTTACAAACAGACTGAAGTGGAATGAAGGGGAACTGATCTTACCGAGGTATTCCGCGCTGATTAGCTTAATCTTGGCTGAGAATGGAGAATGTGTGCATGTGAGTGGAACACAAGTGTGCAGCTGGTCAGAGTACAACTCCTCTGAGGGAAAAAGCCCTCACTGGATTTCTATTATCATGACTAAAGGAAGAAAATTAAACTCTTCTAAGAAACTTTATCATTTGAGATGTGTGGCATGGAGGTTCCTCATGATACTTTGATAGGAAAAAGATCAGTATAGGTACCCTTTGCCCTTTGTATCACTCATCAGAAAAGATGACTGCTACTATAATGGCCCAAAATTACAAAGCTATATAAACTATATTTGCATACATATATCTTTCTGTTCAATTGTATTCAAATGTTAAGAATCAAGGTTTTTGAGTAAGATGAAGCATGTATAATAAAAACATATTAGGGATGTAAGTGAGAGGGGAAGAGGGGTTGAAGGGAGGGGGAGGGGAATGGAGAAAAAGAATTAAGATATATTATGTACAGGTACAAATTCCCTATGATGAATGTGATCATTAGGTATGACAAATATGTACTAATAAAAATAAAGTTAAAAGAAGTATCAGAACTCAAAGGAGTCATAAAGTTAAAAAAACCAGATATATATTTATGAGTGCTGGGGGTGAGGCTTGTGGTAGAGTGCTTGGATAGTTTGCCTTAGGCCCTGGGTTCAATCCCCAGTACAAAAAAATAATTTAAAAAATATATGGGGGAGAAATAATGCGATAAATGAAAATTATCAATATGAACTTTACACACACACACACACACACACACACACGCACACACCTGTCCAGAAAAAGAGCCCAGAAAAGGTATAATAAGAACACCCAATACCCAATTAGGGCCTCTAATATCCACTAAAAAATAGGATTCCTTAGGGCAAATGGCTGATTCCAGACCAGTTATACAACAGATACAAGGTGCGCCTAGGATAGCATATAGCATCTCAGGCCAGGAAGCAGGAGAGGTTTCAAAGATAAATAAGCTTCTGACAGTGGAACACAAAGGAACTAGCTCAAAATAGCTATCACTGGCTGAAAGTGCACCAATTCAAGCAGCAAAAATGACAATGACTACTACATGCAACACGGATATATATCCTAGAAGGCAAGACACCAAAAGAGTGCGCAGTGTATGTTTCTTATATGTTTAAAAAGAGTACCTCTAGTGCTACACTTAGAAAATGGTTACATGTAGACCCAGAGGCAGGGAAGGGAGGAGTCTGGCTAGAAAGGAGTCTTTGGGGGTGCTGGAACTATAGGTATAAAATAGATCAAACTATAAACTTAAGATTTGTGTACTTCATAAAATATTTCAATAAAATAAATATAACAAAAATACGTCAATAAAAAAGTACTGAGTGTAACAGCAAAGCAACAAAAATTTATTCAATGTATAATGCTCAAAAAGGACAAAGCAGAAACTCATTTGCCATCATTTAAAGTGACTTTTTTTGTTGTTTGAGACAGGGTCTCACTGTATAGTTCAGGGTGGCCTTGAACTGACTATGTAGCACAGGCTGGCCTAGAACTTGCAGCGATCCTTCTGCCTCAGCCTCCCCAGGGCTAGGATTACAGGCATGCGCCAGCACACCCAGCTTTTTTTTTTTTGGTACCGGGGATCGAACTCTGGTCCTTGTGCTTGCGCAGCAGGTGGCGAAACCACTGAGCTAAATCCCCGGCCCTAAAGTGACTTTTAACCTGATTTCTTACCTTGGAAATTAGTGACTTAAAAGAGAACGTAATTTTTTCTTTAAATTTAAAGGGAAAAAGTTAAACTTACTGGAAAGATTGTACTTCAGGGTACCTAATGGCCTTAGTTGTTGAGAAAGAGCTTTATTTAATAGGGGGAATGTCAGCTAGTAACTGTCAAGGGAATGATTAAAAACATTTTTTATAAACACTAATAAAAGTATTGATAGAGTGACAATTTGACTTCCGCCTTTCCAGGTTGGATGCCTTTTCTTTCACTTGCCTAGTGTCTGGGTAGGACTTCCAGTCCCGTGTTGAATAAAAGTTGTTAAGCCAAAATGATCAATTAGGGTGAAACCATTGGGTGAATGGCTGATGGGTAAGTATCCATTCGTATGGTACAAAACCAACACCAGAAAATGACTTTCTAGTGAAAAAGGGAAAAATGACTAGAGCGTGGAGGGATCGGATAGCCATCACCAAAATTATGGTCCATCTTAACATCAATAATAGGTCTCATCATGTAATTCTGTAACAGTGCAGATGGAGTATTCTAGCTTAACAAAAAGCTCTATTGAGTCTTCAGACCAACTTCCAGTTTACAGGAAATATGGGATGGGAAAATAAAGTGATATTTCAAAGAAGAAATCAAACAAGTCAAGGTGGAGCATTCTGCAGGAAAACTGACATGGATTTTGAGTAACAACAAATTTTTCTACATTAGTGTTGAGATCACACAACTGTGTTTTGTGGTCCTGGAATGGATCCTGGTTTAAACAAATCAGGAGAATTTTTATGAGGTGAAAGTTTACTAACATAGAAAAGCGGAGATTGTTAAATAAAACAAAAGCAGGTTATAAGATGGCGGGGGATTCAGCTCAGTGGCACCGCACATGCCTTGTAAGTGCAAGGTCCTGAGTTCGATTCTGAGTACCAAAAAAAAAAAAAGCAGGTTATAAGACAGCATGACTAGTATGATCTCATTTGGGGAAAAACATATACATATGTATGTACACAAATGGCATATTATCTGCAAGGCCACACAAAACTGTAACAGTGACAATCTCTGGATTGTGGGAATACAGTGATTTCTCCTTTCTTTTTTCATCTATTTATGTTTTCTAATTTTTTACAATGCACACATATTTCTATTAATAAAAGGTTATTTTAAATTAAATAAACAGAACCCTTACTCTTGCTTGTACAGAGTTTACAGATGGTAAGAAGAAAAAAAATTGAAACCAAAGATTAAATCATTTTCCTTAGTAACACATAATAGTAACGGTTGTTATTCTGTGATGGATAACTTCTTTCATTTTCGATTTTTTATTGCAATAAACTGTACATAACAGAACTTACCATCTTAACCATTTTAAGTGTACAGCTGACTGGCATTAAGTTGTGCAACCATCACCACCATCTATATCCAGAGCTCTTTCATCATCCCAAACTAAAAGTCTGGACTCACTAAACAACTCCACATTCCCTCTTCTCTCCAGACCCTGGCAACCACCTTTCTACTTTCTGATTCTATGAGTTGGATTACTCTAAGCACCACATATAAGTAGAATCATGCAATATTTGCTCTTTTGGGTCTGACTTGCTTTATTTAGCACAATGGCTTCAAGTTTCATCCATGTTGTAGCATGTGTCAGAATTTCTTTTCTTTTTAAGGCCAAATAATATTCCATTGTATGGATATACCACATTTGGCTTATCATGATTGATAATTTTAACTTCTTTATTTTTTCAGTTCCACCCATAGAATTTCTCTGAACATCCTTCTGTCAATCTCTAAGGACGATGACAAACAGCAAACTTGTTTTTTAAATAAAACTGAAGATAGGACAAACCCCCTCCTCAGTTAATACTTCTCTAGAACAGGGTTCCTAGAAAAGTGGGTACTCTATTCAGAGACTCTGGCTACCCAATTCTTCTGTCTTGGGTGAAGACTGCTCCAATCTTTTTCTTAGGGATCATGTTGTTTTTCCAGTGATAAAACTACAAAGAACATCTGGCAGAAAGTATCACTCAGTTGTCTGGCTGGTACACTCTGGGGACAAATCAGATACTTTATAATGGAAATCAAAGTGGTACATAACTGTTTAGCTTTGTATTTTGATGCATCCCTGGGTTCACTGCTGGGATTGCTCCAGTCATCAGCTTCAGGTGTGGTCTTGTAATGGCGCCATGCAGACTTATTGAAAACTGGCAGCCTCTCAAACGATTCACTAGAAAGAGCCTATTGGAAAAAAAATATATACACCAAAGGCCCATGGTGCCATTTTTCTCACATAAAATACTAACTCAAATTTTACTACTAAAAACATCAGAAACCATAGTGCATACTTCTGAAATTATATTAAAATTATATTTTAGCAATTTACTTAAGACTAGCTAGGAAAAAACTGAAGCTTTTATAAAGGAATAAAAATATTCACCTGATTAAAATCAGTACTGAAGTACATATGATTATAAGAAAGTGCATTTTAATTCAGTTAACACTGCTTTGAGACACTCAATCATTTTGACTATATGTTCTCAGACCGAGCACTATTGTTCATATGGTGGTTGCTCCACCAAAGGGCTCAGGAAGAAATAAAGTCTCATATATGCCAGATTTATAAACATATGCCATCAAGTGATATCAAATATCCAACATTTAGTGGCTGGCAATATAGCTCAGTGGTAGAGCATTTGCTTGGCATGCGTGAGGCTCTGGGTTCAATCCCCAGCACCAAAACAACAAAATCACATCATTTAGATGCACTGGCATCCAAGACAAATACTCCAAATAACTGGTTAAATTATGGTATCACATTTGGTAGTATACTATGCCATGGTTAAAAATAATGAGCCAAAGTTATGCAAGATATATTGGAATCTGGGGATTTAGCTCAGTGGCAGCACACCTGCCTCACAAGCACAAGGTCCTGGGTTCGATCCCCGGTACCAAAAAAAAAAAAAGATATATTGGAAAGTAAAAACAAAAACAAAAACAAGTAAGACCAAGATGCTGATATTTCATTTATATGGGAAAAGATTAGATTTCTTTTCCATATGTTTGTATGTGCAGAATCAATTCAAGGAGGACCTACAAGAAACTAGGGCCCATGGTTACCTGTGGCCTAGGGTCAGTGGTAAAAGACTGTTTTCTCCTTTTGCTTTTAAAGTTGTATTATATGTCCATATTACCCACTCAAAAACACTCCAAATAGTCTAGGTTTAAAAATAAAATTCTGACACGAGCAATATAGGATAAAAACTGTATTACTGAGAACTTTGTTATTATATCAAACTTTTATATAACCATATTATCACTAGTGAATTCTTTTTTTTTTTACTAGTGAATTCTTATAACTTGGGAAAGCCTGCAAATTTTTAAAGCAAAAGACTAAAAGACTTCAGATTACTGAAGATCTGTCTCTTTGTCAATTAGATCTTTCAATGAACATGTAATTTTGAAAAATCATAATTTAGAATTATGATTTTAAAAATCAGTATTTTAAGTTTTATATCTCCATTTTTCACATCTTGCTATATCTGAGCATAAAATCAAGGTTGAGGTATAATACAGTTTTCATGTGAAATGGAAGTAAATCTGATCTTAATATAAGAGATGACACAGTGCTATTTTTGATTAGAATTAGAATTTATGGCCTTAAAAAGTAAAAATGCTTTTACACTAAGAGAAATAAAATGCAGTACCTTCAAATAAATGACAGCATCAGTACCTACTCCTTCCATGGAATATAGTTTTAGATCTCCCTGAAAATATCTAGCATACAGACGAGAAATTGGCAAACCATAACCAAATCCAGCCTACCAAGAAAAGAAAATTAACACAATGAGTCAAGCACAAATGTTTCACATGAAGACTATTCAGAGAAGATTAAAATAAATTCTTGATTCAGATTTAAATCAAATGAATTACTAACTTAACCTTTACAATGAGTAATGTACTTATCTATGGCAAAATCTATTTTTCATCCTTCAAAAGCATTTTTCAAATGTTTGGATAATAACAGAAATATTCCAATTTTTGAATAATTTTTTTGGTATTTTAATGAAAGTTTTTAGCATTTAAAAAGAAAATCCCAAATGAAGTAGAGTTTGCTCTAATGACAAAAATAAACCACATCATTTCCGATTGCCATTACGAGATTTCTTTGGTCTTTGAAGTGAAAATGTCCAGTAAGAGAGTTCAAATCCAGTATCAAGGCTGAAACATTGAAAACAATTTCCTGAGAAGCTATTTTCTGAAAATGCTACAATATGTTGATATATTGAGTACATATATTTTTAGAGATAAGCAAAAAAACTTCTAGTATCTTCTTGTATTTCTCTGTGATGAAAACCTGACAGTCAATAACAAATATTTAAATAAATGAAAAAAATGGTGTCAGATATTGGTGAGAACTATAAAGAGAAGTGAGACTAAATTCAGTAACTTTTCTGGTGGTCATGCATGGGTGCGGAAAGATGCTATCCCACCAAGCCTTGTTACTTCTGATCAAATTTATGAATAAGGTTAGGGAAGGTGAGCAGCAGGGCGAAGCAAGCACACATAAAGTCATGGTCACATGGGCTTTAGACTTACAGATCTAAGTTGAAATGCACTTTTTGTGCAACTCAACAGTTTACTTAACCTCTTTGAGACTGTTCTCTCATTCAATGTGTAATAAAAAGCATACCTCAGAGCTGCTGTAAGGATTAAATGATATAATAAGTGCAAAGTAGTGGCACAAAGCCTAACACATAGCAAAACTAAATAAAGGGAAGAAGGTATCGTGGGTACTAAGAGCAGCAATTTTACCAAGTAATATGGATTTCTGCCATTTTCTAACATCTCTTCTTGATATCTTCCTTAATGTTGGGCCTAAATGAAAGGGCAGGGGTGACTGATCATACCCTGTCATTTAAGGGCTTTCGTACTTGTTAAGAATGGCCAACAGTGAAAATGAGATGTCCATAGTAGTCACTGAGGTAACCACAGCAAAGAAATCAGTGTAGTTCAGGAAGAGACGGGAGGAATCTGCCTACGTTAAAGCAAGGCCCAGAGCCTGCCCTCAGGTCTAACAGGGACCAGTGGACAACGCAGCACTCTCTGTGGGGAGGCAGGAGATCCCAGAGTTCTGAGGAACACAGAGGAGGAGCCTCTACCTTGGATCTGATAGGGTTCAGGAAACATTTTCCAGAGTGTCAAAGGATCAAGAGGAGTTAACTGGGAACACAGTCATGAAAAAGAAATTCATGTGTCAGGCCGCAGAGACGTAAAACTCTAAGTTGTGAGGTAAGGAAGGAAATGATGTTTTCCAGTAGTCCATATCCATGTGTTCACTGTAAAGCTGAGAACAGCTTACTAACCAGAGGGGATGGCAATGAAGAAGCATTTCTACAGTATCCTGGAAAGAACACAGGCATAGCCAATGCCAGCTCTACCATTAATTAGCTCAGGCAAGGCACGAACCTCATTTCCTCATCTATATGATGGGCGAGCGGCTTCATATTTTAAGGTCTCTTACTTCACTTCTTTAGTGCCATAAAAAACCAACTACGACCTAATAGCTACCTCAGAATGTATTTTAAGACCTGGAATAGACAATCCATATTCCTTTTAAACAACTGCGGAAGGCGCTAGATTTGTTTGTTGTGCCTTTTTTTCTTTTGAGGTTTATTTAAGTAGGTACCTGAACCTGACCACTGCAATCCCTTTCCAAAATGATCTCTCAGGAATTTTCCTGAATCCTATATAAATGACTTCCTCTTCACTTTCTGCATGCCGAGTTAACAAACTCTGGCTCAAATAAATGATGCAAAGTGTTTGATTTTATTCATACAAATAAAATATAATCTTACATGGTTATCAGTCAGGTAGGACTTTAAAATGAAACTTAATTTATACCCTGAACTATTCTGCAGGCTGATAGATATGTTGCTATGTTTAATGACAAAGGGTTCAATTGTTGTTTGTCAATTAGAAACACTCAGCAGGGGAAGAAAGTGTGGCCCTACCAGGATCTAAATGCTACCATGGTAACCAGAGGCTTTTGTCGCTGCCTTAATAGGGCTGAAGGTTATTTTCAGAGTGTGACAGAAAGAGCTCTGAAAATGCATATACCACCTATATGTTTTATGGTTAGATTATTTAATATAAAAATTAAATGTTTTCATAATGGAACATTTTAATTATATAAACAAATTTGATGGTGGCGATTCAGAAGCTCTGGTGATATGGGCCTCTATGGTATGTAGCACCAAAATGCCCAGTACCATGCTGTAGCCGCACACCCTGCACAGTCCCTTTGCTCACACACTGGTAATGTCCGCCCTCCCTAAGGGTGGTGCTGCATGGGAATGGTGTTCCAGTAGCAGCCTTACCACAGTGAAATGCTTTTTTTGCTGTACTGAGGAATGAAGCACTCAGCTCAGAGTATTTCTTAGTCAAATTAGAAAAGCAATCTAAGCCCAAAGGACTCACAAAGAAAGTAGGCAAGGCAAAAAGGTCCCCCTCCTCCAAACCCTATGGGGAACATTCTAATTCAACCAGGCTACTGCAACAATCCCGGGAGATGGGCAGCTAGCTCCCTGGCCCTCATGTACATAGAGTCCCTACCCCGGTTAATGGCCTTTCCTTCAGCAGCAGTTTGTGATGCTTACCAAAGGGGCAGCTCTTGTGGGCTCCAGGCTAGGTCTAGGAGCAGTTGAATACATGTAGTTGAAAAGACGGTCTATTTTGCGAAGTGGGACTCCACCACCTAGGTCACTTATCTGTAGTATACAAAACGTCAAAAATAAAAAGATACCAATCTGTAACTTAAAGTAGGAGGCAATGAATTCATTAAGTACATTCTACAGTACTCTAAAATGGGTAAAGGCTTTGAAACTCCACTGAAATATGGTTCCTATGAGAATAGTACAAAACAAAGAAGGCAGAGTAGCGCAGGAGGATCCAACAGGTGTGGGATTGAGGTCTCGTTCAATGAAGTTAAGCTGACGTAACTCAAGCCAAGGATCCAGTACAGTACGGTCACGTGTCACGTAATGTCAGGGGCACGTTCTGAGAAATGTGTCATTAGGTGATTTCACCACTGTGCTAACATCACAGAGTGTGCTTATGCTAATTTGGCTATAATGTCACTAAGTGATATAATCTTATGGGACCACTGTCATGTATACGCTCTGTTGTTATCTAAAGTGCAGTGACTCACAGCTGTACTCACAAATAAGACACTTAATGAATGGCAGTTTTCAACTCTTGCCTCTGATTTCTTAATGTCCAGATTATTATTAAATCAACTGATAATTAAAGTATACATGCAAGTAAAGCAGTTACCTTAATGGACAAATCTTCTTTACCCAAAGTCACAAGAGTTTTAACAGCAGGGCAGCCCTCTTTTCTATCTTCATACAGCTCAACTGTTGCTCTCATTGAGTTCTAAAATAATGAAACCTTTTGTTAAGGCATATTGCTCATAAACCATATGTTAAAGCATATTGCTCATACACCATATGCTCATAAAGCATATTGTTCATAAACCATGATTTTGCTTATTTATTTGGTGCTGGTGATTGAACCCAGGGCCTCATGCTAAGCATGCACTCTACCACTAGGCTAGTCTCCCAACCCCAAAACCACACTATAAAAAAAGAAACAAGCGCGAGATTACTTATACCCAGCAAATCTTTTGTGGAGCAAATATTAGTTGGATTTACAAGGCATTTTTTCCTCTTAAGAGCTTGGATAAACATATGCTCAGATCAAGGAAAAATTTCCTGACACTTTATTTTGTTTTCACCTAGTTTTAGCCCCATCTAACATGCTAAATATTTATTTTTCTTTCTTTCTTTCCTTCCTTCCTATTGTTTTTTTGCTTTAGGGTATTTAAATTATTCAACTCAACCTGGAAGGATGTTTTTATTACATGCAATGAGGCTGCAGAGGCTGATTTGTGCACTTTAAATCCTATTTATCAATCTGCATTTATAGAGCACCTTTCTTCTAAAGAAGGCAGAAAAACGAAAAGATTCATGCTTCCCACAAAATTAATCATTTGGTTGAAAAAAGTAGAAAAAATATCAGTTAAAAAGAAATTCTGAAAAAGCCACAGCTGTTAAAGAGAAATTTCACAATTGAATGCCCATCTCCACCTTAAAGTGTTACATCAGTAACATTCTAATTTTTGGAAGCAAATCAGCATAACTGATTTTTCAGGTGTTCGATTTAGTGTCTTACACATTGGAGGAGATGGAATTTTAGCTTAAATGTCTTCTGTCTGCACTACAGCGATGTAAATGCCATTAGTCACTGGGTAACAAAAACGATAATTTAGGCCACAGGAAGACACGTCCAACTCATGGCCCATGGACCACAGGTGGCCATGGACAGTTAGCAGTGAGGCTCCACAAGACTGGAAACTTTAAAACATTATTATGTTAGTTTTAGTGATATTTTCCATGACTCGACTGCACAGTGCTTAAGCCTGGCCCTGTGTAGGCAACAATGGACCCAGACACTGAAGCACTAGTTTCACAGAACAAGTTTTATGCTTATATTGCTCTCGTTTAAAAATGTTACAATAAAAATATTCAAAAATAAAGGAAGTTTTGTTACTTATTTGCAGTAACCACATTATATGTTTTATATGTGGCCCAAGACAGTTCCTCTTCATTCAGTGTGGCCCAGGCAGGCCAAAAGGTTGTACACCCATGTTTTATTTTTTATCCTTTTTGGTCCAGCTCATCCATGTCTTTCCCTTCCACCTCTGTTAGGTTTTCTGAATTGATTAAAATAGGTAAAGGGGTTACAAGATCTCTCAGGACTGGAACAACTATTAATGCACCAACACGGTTAATACTCAGAAGCACAGATATGCAGACACATGTTTTTTATTTTGGTCTGGCTACTATAATAAAGCCTTTACTGGGTTTGAAAATTAAAGGGCATCTCTAATCTCATAACCTAAGAAAAAACAGTATGGATTTTATGTAAAGTGACTAAAGTACAATTAAGTTTCAAAATCAATATGTACTAATATTCACAAAAACTATACTGTACACAGCAATTTTTCATCTCACAGTGTACAAATTATAAAACCCACAGGATATCAGAAATAGAATTTTTAAAATGGTTATGCAAAACGTTTTTCTTATGCTAATCTAATGAATCCATTATGCCCTGAATCAAGGTAATTTAAAATGAAGACTTCTTTCCATGTTTTTAAATTCCACTTACCTTGAACAACTCAAATAGCATGTGAAACAGATGTGAGGGCACATAAACTACCTGAATAGGTTTGTCTGGTGCTTTGGCTGAAAACAGAGACAAAACTGTCAATGAAGAAGGACCAAGATGACAGGAGAGTCAAGAATGACGCTTGCATTTTATTTTCAAAGTACATAAACCAGAGTGCTATAAAAAGCTAATTTAGGGTTCCTACCTCTAAAGGCAGGGATGAGCAAAACATATCCTTTGGAATCAAAAAAAATCTAGGGCGAAACCTAGTTCCTTCATTTATGAGCTATGTGACCTGGACAAATCTCTCAAGCTCTCTGAAACTTAGTTGAGCAAGATTGTAATACACCTATGCCACAACGTCCTGAGCATTTCATAAGGACAATAAAATATTACTTGGCTGGTTCCAAATTGGGGGGACATCCCCACTACTGACTGGAGTGGTTAGCTGAGGAAATGTGAAGCCACTGGAGCAAAAGGGCTGGTGAATTGGACTACACAGCAGTATTACATTTGGTTAACATGTGGTAAAACAGAATGTAAGGTTCATCAAACTTTTTCTACTAGCAGCCAGCAGTGAAACTCCTGGAGACCTATAGTCTTTTCTCCTTGCCTCAGGGAACTTCTGAGGAAAATCTGAGAAACACTGAATCTCATGTCAAACACTGAGAACAGTGTGGAGTAGAGAGATGCTGAGAAATGTAGTCCTTCCCCTTCGTGACCCGAAATCACTTAAGAGACTGAAGCTACATAAACTTTCTCAAGTAGAACACATACATACTCACTCATGCTATAATGTCGACCTACTTCCTCTCGTATATGATTCAAAATAATATAGAGTTACTAATTATTCGGTTCTTAGCAGTTTACAAAGAGCTTTCACACACATTATCCAATCAAATTTTCACTATAATACCTCATGGCTCATAGAGTAGGTGGCATTATTTACAGGTGAACAAACAGGCTTTGGAAAGGCTGACCTGCCCATGGTATTGAAGTGACACTGAAACTGGATGCTTGGCACAACAGCATGTTTTAGCGGGGATCAAACCCAGGGCCCTGCTATACCACTGACCTATATCCCCAGCCCCCAAGAGCTCTTGATTCTAAATCCTGGATCTTTTGATGATCGGCTATTCTAAAAATTATCTAGTTATACTCCTCCATCCAAGCCCAGAGGCAGCCACTTTACTACATCTGCTGTACTCCTTTGGTTGATATTTACATTCTGTTCTGTAACTCTAATTAACTATTCTATATGTTATTTACACGTCCTTTTAAGAAAAGTTGAAAACCAGTAGTGTCAGTAACATTATAAGTGTTAATCACTGCAGAGCAGCCACAACAGTGTACCTAGGATTCCCTTTTTTAATCTAAGCGATACCACTTGGAGGAAAATGTTTGTAAGCCTTTATGGTGAAATGGATTCTCTTTAGACTTCTCCCAACTGCTCGACACTATGCTATCTTTTTAGGTTGCTGTATATTCAGTTTGTGTCACTCTTGCACAGCTATGTATTTTTCCTGGAGTTTCTAACTACCTCTTCTCTTGGGCAACTAGACAAGAAACATGCTTTCCTTATGTATCACCAAGATCTTCCATACTTTTATTATTTATTTGATTTATTCTTAGTACTAGCACAAGCACAGGACATGCTAGACAAGTGCTCCTCCACAAAGTTACATTCCACTATACCCCAGCCCTTTAAAATTTTTAAAAAAATTTTTGAGACAGGCTCTCACTATGTTGCCCAGGCTGGGCTCAGACTTGCAATCTCCCTGCCTTGGCCTCTCGAGAGGCTGAGATTACAGGTGTATGCCACTGTGCCCAATCATTCTCCAAGATTTTTCAAATTATAATCGATTGTTTTCCAAACATGCTGCATAGCCATCATCATAGAATTGTTTTCATTGAAGTTCTAGAATGTTTCCCCCTATTTCTTATATCCATGGTATATACCCTAAATCAGTCAGGCAACCCACCTTGTATATGAGAGATACCTCACTCCTTATACCTATGATTCATGCATCGAAGGTTTGGTTAGGTAGAGAATTCTGGATTTGAAATCATTCTCAGAATTTGGTAAGAGGGATTTTCTGGCAATAAGAACACAGCTGGTAAATTTAATGTCACTTAAGTTTCATTAATGCTACTGGCATTTGCCAAGGTCTGATATACCACAGTTGTAATATTCTTGTTTAAGAGTGAAGGACTGGATTCATCATTCAAGATAGCTGCTGCTCTTTTTTCCCAGGCTCTCCACTAAGCAGGAAGGCTTAGAGCTCTATGTACCTGATTAAGACTTCTCAACTGGCTTTAAGACAAGCATATAGAAAGCTGGCCTCTGACAGAGAGGCCCCCAAATCCTCAATGATGTTACCTTGGGGTAACATCACTCACACGAATATCCCCAGTTCTTTCTAGGTTGTTCTTAGACAGAGTGCTCTTATTTGACTGTCAGCAGGCAGACTCCGGCCAGAGTCAGACTACTCCTCAACATCCCTCCATGTTCTTCCTTAGACCAGATTTCAGCTAACTCCGACCCACTGGCTTTTCCTGCCCATTCCAGGCCTTTTCACCACCTAGCTCTGCTCCAGGGTCCCTCCAGAATAATCTTTGGCAAACTGGTTGCCAACTCTGCAGCAGCCTCCTCCTTTGTGGTTTCTTTTGGTATATCTCATTACTCAGCATACTTCCATCTGGTTGCCCTCTTTCAGGAGCTGGGATGAGTGCTTGTGTTCTCTCAAATTCATATGCTGAAACCTAATCCCCAAAGTGATGGTATGAAGAGGTAGGGTCTTTGGGTGGTGGATAGGTCATGAGGGCAGAGACCTCATGAATGAGATCAGTACCCTTATAAAGAGACTCCACAGAGCTCCTTGTCCCCTTCTTCCATGTAAGGACACAGCAAGAAGTCATCTATAAACCAGGAAATGGGCCCTCACCAAATGCCAAATCTGCTGACACCATGATCTTGGATCTCCTAGCCTCCAGACCCCTGAGAAATAAATGTCTTCTGTTTAGTCCAGCCAGTCTTAGGTGTTTTTATTATAGTGGCCCAATGGGACTATGATAGTGGTCCACTGATAGCCCCCTGGTTTTCTTTGCTATTTTTCCTTGGACTTCTTTATTGTCATTTTAATGGAGCCGAGGAGCAAGCTGAGTGCTTAGTTTATCTTGTACGGAGGCATGATTATTTATATAAACAGCTTTGGAATTCAACCCTTTCACTCCAAATCTTAGGGAAATGAAAATACCTTTTATAGTGTAGGGGTTTTTTTCATTCAAATAACATTCTCTAGGAGCCATCTAAAGACTTGCTCAATTACTTGCACTTTCATTTGGGAATATTATAGTTTAGATTTCTTTCCTTCCTTTTAAAACTATGTCAAATGTTTTTGTCCATGACTTTTCCCTTACCCTGGGTCTACTGGCTGTTAAGGAGTGGATGCTCAATAGATGTTTGTTGACTTTCTAAAATAACAGACAAGTGGAATGTATATTTTCTATTTAAGGGTATATTTAAAAAGTCAATGGAAAGATGGTCCAGGTTTTTTATGCTCGAGACTCAAGAAAAAATAAAGCCTCTACACTGCACAGTCACTGCTCCATATACCATTAGTTGAAGCAGGATTTAATAAATATCAATAGGACTCTACATAGGCATAAAAAATTTTATTTTCAGATAATTCTCCTATAAGAATGAAAAACAAAAAACTAGAGGCTAAGCAGAAAAATGCGTTTAAAAGAAAAGATAGCAGTGCATTTAAAGGTGGCTAATCCATTTCCAAAAATAAATGAATAAGAATATTAAAAACATCATATGGTATGGTTCAAAGTCACATGGGATCAAGTTCTGACTCTGCTATTCCATAGCTACATTAACAAATATTTATCTTATCTGGACCTCAGTGCTCTATCTCTAAAATGGGCCTAGTGCATATTTCACTGGGTGAATCCAAGGGTTAAATGAGATAAACTGGCATACACAGAGCCTTCCAGTAAGCAGTCAGTACATATAGGCCATTACCACTACTAAACATAAATTTCTCAGTGTTAGCAGAGCTACCAGTAATGTCTGGTTGATTGTTGTATGGAACCGCTTGATTGAAATTATCCAATATGGGGAACCTAGAGGTCAAAGGTCCCAGGATAGACTCATTGTTTTCCTATGAACTCATAAAAAATTATCACAGTATGAATTGAAATTTTTATGCTTCCCACCAAACTCAAAGATATGAATTGCCTTCTTGATAAGAATGACTAATGTGGAAATAATGAAGAAATGTAAGTAGGGGCTTAAATTTATCTTTCCCAAGTCAACCATGACTTCCAGTAGCTACCCTTTAAATATGCAGTATGGGGATGGGGATTTAGCTCAGTGGTTCTGCTGCCTGTCTCGCAAGCGCAAGGTCCTGAGTTCGATCCTAGTACCAAAAAAAATGAATAAACATAAATAAATAAATAAATATCCAGTATGCGCTCAGTGCCATGTTTAAGGCACAATTTTAAGTTACTAGAGACATTCTCCTTATACTACGCTGCAAGGCAAACTTACAGATGTGGAGCCTGAGTGTAAGAGGCCAAGTGATCTGTCTAGGGCCCACATCATGTGTCAGAATCAGGATGCCCACTGACAGGTGAGGTATACAGTTCACATCTTTCCCCTGAACCACACTGCCTGATCCCATTGATGGAAAAAAGGCAAGATAAAAATGTTTATTTGTTTAATGTTTTGGTAACTGAATGAGAATTACAAGAGAATAAGAACATATGACGAGATTGCTTCCGGACTTTGGAGAAACTGGTCATGGGCTTCCACAGATGGACAGTCAGAATATGTGAAACTAGGCTCGAGATGTAGCTCAGTAATAGAATACATGTTTAGCATGTGTGGTCCCAGGGGTCAATCCCCAGCACGAGAGAAAGAGAGAAAGGAAGGAAGGAAGGAAGGAAGAAAGAAAGAGAGAGAAAGAGAGAAAAGAAAGATGAATAGATTTGAAACTTAATCCAAGATCAACAAAATTGTTATTTTTAACGTTCCTATTAAATGTGCTACAGAAAGGACAATGAAGGAAATTTACCCTAGCTTGCCCTAATACTTGATGACTGGTAGATATTGATGGTGTTGCCACTGTGTGTTCTACATAATCTTAGTTACTGCTTTTGCAGAGATCCACATTGGGAAAGGAAAAAAAAATCTTCCAAAATTTCAGAAACAATAGATAATACAGCAAACTAGCAGAATTTCAATTCTCAGGGAGCAATACATTGTCCTTTGGGTTAATGGCAGCCTCACACCCTCTGGGCCGAGCAGCAAACACTATGCTCTACAGTTAAAGGCATCCATTGCGTGATGGAAACATCCTGAAAGGGGATGTTGTGTAGTTTAGATGAGCTCTGACAATGAATCCTTATGAACTCAGTTCTAATTCCTCCCTAGAAAATGGAATCAGCTGTCATACTGTGGGAAGTACACATGCTCTCTCACTATGAAGCAAAAATATCTACTTAAGGTGTTAAACACCAAATCCAACCTACATCTCTAACACAGAACTTATTAGAGCTAAAGTAATCATGCTTGTAAAGAGCTTTGGCATTCAAGAAGTCATAGATATAAATCATAACTACATTACCAGATGCCACAGAAAATCAGAGGTTACCTATAATCACAAGCACTGATTTCTCTCAGTGATGGGGAATGGCACTTTAAAATGTCATATAAAAAGGGCTTCTATCATTTATGAGCTAGCACCAAAGATAGTTACGAAGCTCTTGTCATGGTGGTGGCTGCAAAACCCAGCATGACAGAATGGCTCTGGACCAGTAAGAACAGGTACGCTGCTCCGGCCTGCAGGATGAATAAGGCTGCTATGCACACGAAGGAGCTACTTGTTTCTACCTGCAATTTTAAGTTTCCTTGTTTGAAAAAATATGAATCTGCACAGTTGGGTCAGGTCCCACCTAGCCTGTAGGAGGAAACACGGAGAATATTAAAATGCTTCTAATTAGAAATACCCAAGCCAAGTCCACTTAGTTCTAGTCTAGTCGTGTACTCATTATTCAAGACAAGGCACAACCCTTCTCACAGAACCCAAGGGACTCTGAAAATAGCTCTGATGTCATATATTTTAGTAGAACATAGGGGCAACTGGCCTTCAATGGCAGTGTGAAGTCTCTTCCAATTTAATCTCACTGTAATATAAATACATATGTGGTATATTTTTGAGAAGGAATTGAATTTGGTTTATCTTTAATAATAAATACTCACACCCTAAGAATTTTTCTGCTTGCCTTTTTTTCATACTCTAAGAATCAGTCATTCTGTGTGTAGGAATCTAACCTACAGAAATATTTCCATACAGTCACAAATTTTCCCTGCCTCCAACCCCCTCTACCCACTCATTATAGAATACAGGAAAATGAGAAATCCTAAGCATTCACCCAGAAGGAAATGGTTAAAAAATAAAAATAACATAAATATAAAATCATATTATATAAATACAGAATTATATCCAATCAGCTATAAGAGGGCTGTTGTTTTATTCTGGCAGTATAAATACTTAAAAATTTTTTCCAATGAGTTTGAATTATTACAAACTTTTATAGCCCATGTTTTTAAAAAGCCTCAACCTTTCCCATATTATTTCTTTAAAGCATTACTTCGAATGGCTGCACAATATTCTATCCTACTGGTGTATTGCCATTTATTTAAATAATCCTGTAATGTGGAAAATGGGTTGTTTTTTAACTTGTCTCTGTAAGAAAACTACTGTTATCATTCTTGTATATAAACCTGTAAACATCTCTATTTTCTTACAATACATTTTCTGAAGTTTAATTTTACTGGGCCAAAGAAATATGATCATTATTAATTTAATTTACTGTGTCAAAGAGAAAAGACATTGGTAGAATTTCTGAGAAAGGCTATACTAATTTAAATTTATACAAGAAATGCATGTGTTGGGGACAGAGTACTTTTCTGGGCACAAATTCAAAGCATTAAAATGTTATAATTGTCATTTTGAAAGACAAAAGGGACATCTCTTAGACTGGTAAAGTTAAACACTTTTCCATGTGTTGACTGCTTGCATCTGTTATTTTGAAAACTGCCTATTTATGCCTTTGCGCATCTTCTTCTTTGATTACTTGTTCCAAGAACTTGCCATTCTAATATGTTACACATTCCTATACAAAAAGTCTTTGCAACAATATTCCTGACTAACCAAAGGTACAGAGAAAGTTTTAAAAAGATGAAAAGGCAGCACAATTTTAAGATCTTACTGAAATGGACCCTAGGTATAATCAGTTTTTAAGTCAATTTCTTTGTATTTAAGTTTAAAATTATTTTTCTTTTACCATTAAATTCTTCAATTTCCAGCTCTGGAGCTATCATGTAATACTGTTCACACAGCATCTTGGCTGTTTCATATGCATCTGCAAAGTAAGAGAAAAGTTTAGCAGTTGTACTAATGATGTAGGCACAAATGTATGTGTGTGGGTGGGGTGTTTGTGTGGATATATACAAACATACATTTATGATAAAGACAAACTATTTAAACTGACAGATTTAGAATTAAAACTACTACTACCCTTTACAAATAGCCTTCTTGGGTTTAATAAATTAGAAAGGATCAAAATAAAATTTCTCTTTCCTTAAAGTTTTAATACCCACAACAATGCCAAAAATACTAAACTAATAATATAGCTAGCTCTGTGCCAAGCACATATTTATTTAGCTTTTAAACATTCCTAACAGATATTTTCATAAAAATCTATAAACTCAAGACTATCCTTCTAAACACTATGCAATCCGACTAAATTGTAGCAAAAAGGTATTTGTTGTAATTTAAAAATACCAACAGTCTTATGATGTGCTGGTTACTTGTAAATGAAACATCAATAAGTATTTGCTGAATGAATGAGTTTCCATGAATTGCACAATTTAAGTTATTGGAGACACCACTATCACTTTAAAATGTCCTTTAAGTTCATTGAAGGTAACAAGTTGGGGCTGACAGTCATCAAAGTCTAAAGGGAAATAATTTGCTTTTTAAAGGAAAATAGGGTAGAAATATCAGAGTTATTACAGAAATAGCCAAAAGAGGAAATTCAGGAGGCTCAAAAGGCGGGGAGCAAATTCAGAAAGCAAAGTGTTTCATGGCATATTACCTTTTTTGTCTTGAACTGTAAACAATCTTTAAAAAAAAAGAAACAACAACAAAAGAATCTGAGGCCAGAATTTGTGCCTTACACTTACTGTACAACATGCACAGAACTTAGTATAGCGCCTAAGTGGATGGTTAATAAATATTCCTTGATCAGAAAAATTTTAAACCTTTTAATAATTTTAAAAATTTCATTGAAATATAACTCCAGTACCATTAAAATTCACTTATATGTAGTGTACAATACAACTTCGTGGTATGTAGTATACTTGCCAAGTTGAGTGTCCATCACCACAGTCAAGTTTGCAATATTTTCATTACTACAAAAAGAAGCTCCATACCCAGCGACAGTCATTCTCTACCCAGCCCTAAGCACCATGGAGCTACTTTGTGTCCAATACATGTGCTATTCTAGACATTTTATATACTGATAAATAGAACTACATAATATGTGGTCTTTTGTGACTGATTTCTTTCACTTAGCATGTTTTCAAGAGTCATACATGTTGTAGCATGAATCAATACTTCATTTTTTATTGCTAATAGTTCATTGTAATAATGTACTATATTTCTTCATCCACACATCAATTAATAAGACATTTGGGTTGTTTCCACTTTTGGCTACGATGAACAATGCTACTATGAACATCCATGTCAAGGTTTTTGTGTGAACATGTTTTCGTTTCTTTTTTTTTTTTTTTGGTACCAGGGATTGAACTCAGGACCTTGAGCTTGCCAGGCAGGCACTGTGCTGCTGAGCTAAATCCCCAGCCCAACATGTTTTTATTTTTCTTGGGTATATACTTAGGAGTGGGAAACTGCTGGATCATATGGTACCTCTACACTTGTAAAGTTTGAGGAAATGCCAGGCTGTTTGCCAAAGCAATTTTGTTTTTGTTTTGTAGTTTTACCCTATAATTTCTAGAGATCAGATAATCAAATTACATTAAAATCCTTCACAGGTACATTTTCACTGTTCTCCACTACGTATCAGCTCCTTGGAGACAAGATTGTGGTTCTTTTATATTCCCACATCAATATTGTGCATAGAAAAGATACTTAAGATTTAAGAGAAAGAATAAAGGAAAGGAAGAAAGGGGAAAAATAAGCCCAACAAATTTTAAATATGCTAAAATTTTACATTATTAATCTAAAATATTACAAAGATGAGATTAGGATATGGTCAAGTTTTCATTCATTTACCTACTATTGCTACCAAATTGGAATTTCATATATTATTTGGCTTTAGAGAAAAAATTCTGATAATTTTATTATTTTTAGAATTAAATCACTACAAAGAACCAAAGGTAGAGACAGTAGAATAACTCTGACGAGATGAAATGAGGGACAGCAAAAAGGAAATGGCAGGAAAAGAAGAAAAAAATTCAGAAAGAATCAATCAGTGTGAAAATAGACATTAGAGTTGGACTGAATTTAAACCCTGAAAAAAGAAAGTTGAAATTTTAAATCATACTAAATTTGCAGGTTTTCTTCTGGAATATGGTAAACCTCATCAAATACCTAAAAAGTACTTTTGTATAAAGAAATCAAGACTCATTCTTTTTGCTCTGAGTATACCACCAAACAATGCTACATCTCCACCTAGTGACGTGATAGCACAAAGCCAACTTCCAAGGCTCCTTTCATTATAAAATGGGAAAAGAAACTAAACCCATGATAATTCCTCATGGTATTAACCTGACAGCATGGGAAATGTGCTACACAAATCTAACATGTAGAAGACAGTGGAGCCTAGATAGAAGCAGCCATGTTCAAATTCAAAGATTCAGTATGGCTTCTAAAACCACAAGTGAATAAGAAGTTTTTAAGCATCACAATAAATTTAGTGTATAATGTTATAATTAAAAAATCACATGATAAATCTTTGAAAAACTCAAGACATCACAAGGTAGTCTCACACAAACCAGTCAGCTAAAAGAAGTCTGGTGGCATTCAGGGCAAAATCTATATTGGTAAACATCTTTACAAATTCTCATAGCATGTCACAATACATATTTAGTAAGCATGTGTTAAATGGAACAATCCTCTGGCCCATGATAAAGTTCTCAACATGCAGTCAATTATACTGATGGAAGTGTTTTTGCTTTGCTTTGGTTGTGTGTGTGTTTGCTTTTTCTGCTGTTGTTGCTGTTAAATTGGGAACTAGAGGCCTCAAGTGGTTCCCAAACATGGTTGTGTATAGAATTTACTACCTAGTTTTTAAAAAGTGAAGACTATGAAATGAACCCCTGGAGACTCTCAGGCAGTCGCTCTGTGTTGAGGGCTGGGAAGTCAAGATGGGGTCACACTTAATTCTAACACTGTTTCCCCTTAGACATGAATGATCGTGAGGTTCTGGGGTGTTTGCTAGTACATATTATATTCAAACAGGGCCCCTCTGTTTAAGTAGTTTAATATAAGAATGAAAAAGCTTCTTAAAATCACCATCATAACAACTGCAATCAAAGTATTACCTTATAAATGTTCTTTCTATCTAGAGTTGTATTTAAATTCTTTTCCTTTTTCTGTGGTATTGGGTATGGAACTCAGGGCCTTTGCACTGAGCTATGTCCCCAGGCCATTTTTTAATTTTTTATTTTGAGACAGGGTCTCCTTAGGTCACTTAGTTGCTAGGCCTGAACTTGCAATTCTCCTGCCTTAGCCTCCCAGAGTGCCGAGATTACATGTGTTTAAGTTTTCTAACAAAATTTTTTATTTTCTAATAGAAATAAAAATTTTAAAAGGTAATTACCAAATTACTTTCATCTGTAATATATTTGAGCCAGTGTTTACCACTGATCTTTAAAAGGAAATATTAAGAAATGATTATTATTGCCATTACACATAAGTGATAGTCATTGTTTTAGGAATCTGTTTGCAAAGGTAATCAGGTGTTGATCACAGAGTAATTAACGAAACTGTGGGTGTGGCACATACATACGTTCCCAGGCTAAAATTGCCAAACTGTAAACACATAAGACTCAAAATTAAAAAGGCTGCACATAAAGAGTAGAATAAAGGCCTGGTATGCTGCCACACACTTGTAATCATGGCACTCTGGAAGGCTGAGACAAGGACTACAAATTTAAGCCCAGCTTGGACAACTTAGTGAGTCCCTGTCTCAAAAAATTTTAAAAGGGGGATAGGGATGTAGCTCAGTGTGAAAGTGCTGGGTTCAACTCCCAGTGCAAAAAAAAAAAAAAGGTAAGGTAAAGACTCACACATTGACACCACTTGCCCAACAGATCCAACCTAGCACACAGGAAAACGATGCATTATACAAATTAGTTTATTTGATTTTTCTACTCAAAATTCACCATAGAACTCTGCTATCAAAGATTAGCCCCTACCCCAAATATATTCAATCATCTGTTTACAAATATCTTATAAGAGGGTAGTCTAGACTGAGTTTAAGTGAGTGCTGAAGACAGTTAAAATGAAGATGCCAAGGTCCCTAACAGAATTGAGGAAAACATGAAGCTCAAGTGTAAGTAGCCACTGTCAGAACAAGGCAACTGTAAACGGCCATAGCATTACAAAGTCACAGATATACTGGTTTTAATTTTTGGTTTTTAATAAAAACAACCCCACACCATCCTTGGCATCAGTAATAACATAAATCAAAACAACAAGCAAATGTTATAGAACTACACTCCCCAACAAAAGACATCTAAAAAAACAATTACCTTCTCAACAATTCATCACTTCAGCGATCATTTCTAGTTGGAGACACCTGGTAGCAGAGTAATGCTATCTCCTTTTAGCATGGTCTGACCCAGTTGTTTGCTTAAGAATGAATCTCTTCTATATCATGTAATATGAGGTTCCTATACTCGTCAAAACCAAAGATTCAGCCCTCCACCTGCATATTCACTTGCACACAGAGCCATACCTGAATCGGGGATCTATGTCACAAGTGTCTGAAGATGAGGGTGACAGGTTACGCCTTCACCTTCTGTACCATTTTACTCTGGCCACAGTACACCATGGTGAAAGTTCACAGAAGCCACACTGACCCACACACTGCTTTAGAAGGAAATTTCCAGAATTGATAAGGCTACTTTTTAGAAACCCTTTTAAGTTTCAAAACAATTCTAAAAAGTCTACTGCCATCCTGCCTACCCCAAAATCCACCCTGAGTGGGAACCACCAGGGTTTTCTTAAGCAGTAAATCCCCCTTGACTAAAAGGAAGTTGGGGCAGAATAATTAATGTAAAGGCAATCAATCTCCAGGCTGATCAAACCTGAAAACTTACAGTCATAGGCAAA